ATAATGTCTGTGAATGAGCTGAGAGAATTCAGAAGATTTGAAAGAAAGCTTATAAATTCTTAAGAAAGACTCAAGAGTATTAGAAGAGATACTATGACTTTAAGTATATTATAAAGAGTTTTAAGAAAGATAATAGAGTCTGACTGAGTCTAGAAAATATCATTATATAAAGATCTAGTAAGAAGCTGAATCTCTTGCAGACAGAGTCTTATAAGATTATGAAGAAAATTAGTTTACAGTTCTATAGATTGAAACTATTATCTGAATTGCAGATATATAATATTTTTTATATCTCTTTACTTCATAAATATAAGAAATTCTTAGAAGAAAATCCTGTAACTTATCACTCTGTCTGCAAAGTACTAGAGAGTGAAAGAGAATATCAGATTAAAGAAATTATTAATTCAGAGAAGTGAGATTATAAGCTCTGATTCAAGATTCAGTGATAAGAGTATTCTGATAAGATGAATAAGTTCACTTGAGAATTATTCAGATAGATAAGATATCTGCAGAAGCTGAGACATAACTTTCATACTATAAATTCTGATAAGTCAGAATAATGCAGTCTTCACTAAGAACCTGATTATAATAAAGATATTAATACTATCATTTATAAGTTCTAGTTTATAAGATAATGAGTTTCTACTGAAATGAACAGTCTACAGTATATATAAGAGAAGAAGAAATCATACTCTTATTAAAGTTAAAAAATAAGAAAATAAAAACAGAACTGTGAATACAATTTAGAGATTAACAAAGAAAAAATAAAGAAAACTCAAATTCACATTCTTAATACTTATAACACTCAATCTCTTCACAACTATCAATTTTCTTCTTCAAAGAAGTAGAGAGTATTATATCTATAATACAGATAATTATTGCATTTAACATAAAGACTGTCAGAAATGCACAGACTTCAGAGAAGTCAGATATCAGAGTATGTATAATTACAGCAGAGTCTTGAGAACTGACTGTCTGTATATATAATTAGATATCTCTTATAAAGCTGTGTCTGCTCTCTCAGTTGTACTGAAGTATTCAGTCTGAAAATAATTGAGACACAGAGAGAGAGCTCATCTGTTCAGATCAACTCTCATTATAAATTTATAGTATTTACATTATCTTGATTATCTGAATTTTACAGGTATCTAAGAACTCATCTCTCATTAACAATGAGATTATAGAAATGCACTGCAGTGTGAGAATCATTGATAGAGAATTTAGACATATTTATATATATCTGATCAGAGATTGTGCAGATAGAGAGAGAATAATTGTAGATCTGCAGAGCTGTAGAAGACACTAATAATACTAGAAGCTTTATAAGAACTGTTAGCTAGAGTCTGTAAGAAATTATTTATAAGAAGACTTACAGCAAAGAGAGAGACTGTGCTGCTTGAAGTCAGAAACTGATCTGAGAGAGGTATAAAGTTAGCTGCTAATCTGAAGATCAGATGTAATGACAGAGCTGAGAGAGATAAAGACACTGTTATAAGTAGTAATATCTCTGCTTTATTAACTGATAAAAAGTGATCAGAGAAGTTGCAGAGATACTTACAAAAAGCTCAGCAGTGATCAGATATTATTATGAAAATATTAAAATTAAAAAAATTTTTTATTCTTGAAAAGTTCTTGAATTAATATGCAGATATTATCAGAAATACTCTCTCTCTATTATTTGAGTGAAAACACTTCACAGATGAATGAGAATACTCATAGTTTATAAGAATAAGAGCTATTACAGAAAAAGAGAAAAGAAGATAAGATTTTACAGACAGATCTGAGATATTTATACTACTCTAGAGAGATTTACTTATATAATAAATAATCTCACAGAACAGTCAGATCACTCTAGTAAATAAAGAGTAATTATAAATCACAGATCTGAATCTTTCTATATAATTATAAAGAGTGATTACAGACTATGAATATCTTGATTCTATAATTCTACAGAGTTAATAAAAGAATGAAAAATTTCTCACAATTCTACAGTGTCAAAGAACAATGATTTATAAGAATAAGTAAAAGATTAACTTATAAATACTTCTCTTTAATAAGAATAATCTCATAGAGAGTGATTCATCTATGAGATGAATCTGTGTAATGATTACACAAGAATTTTATAAAAATAGTTAAGAGTCAACTGAAACTCTTCTATATAAAAAATATGAGATGAATCTGTGTGATAGTCAGAGATAGACTTACCGCTGAGACTATGAATTTCACATTTGATCTCATTTGATCTGGTCTCATACATTTCTTGGCGTGAATCCCGCTGGGACTGACTATCAAAAAAACATGTAAAGTGACTATATATCAGATCTTAAAATGAAATCATAACTTGAAAAAAATGAGAAAGTGATCTCATTTGATCTTATTTAGTCTCATTCTTGGTATAAAGTTACTATTTTTAGACATTTTAAGGTTTTTTAGACTATTTTTAATTTTTTAAAAAGTAACACTTTTTAGTAATGCTCAAATAAGATTTAAAGTCATTTAAAGCAATAAAAATAATTTAAATTGAGAAGTGAAAATCATGGTCTCATTTGAAAAATGTGATAAGAGTAGATAGTAAGTTTCACTGAGACAGTATGAAACTACTATCTAATGTTAAAACCGTGTAATGGGATCAGTTGAATTGATAATGAGACTATCAAAAAATCTGATTCTGGTCTCAGACACGGTTACACAGTCAGTCTAGTCAGAGAAGAATCTGTAGATTATAAAGAATCTTATAAAATAAGAAACTAAGTGACAGACTCTTTTCTCTTTATAATAATAAGAGATTTTTCCTCACTGAGATTTTTTATAGATATGAAGAGTTTTTAGTGAGTATCACTGCAGTGCTGAGCTGATTCTATGAAATCACTCAGTGAAAGGCTTTACAGATAAAGCCTTAGAGAGAGAGAAGTATATAAGAAATTCTGCTCTTCACAGATTCTTTATCTCTATTTCTATCTCTTATATAATCAATAGAGTTAGTGACTCTTGACTATACATAATTATATAGACTGAAGTTCATGAATACTATTCATAACTCAGCTTGAATACTATTATATATTCAATCTCTACATTTTATCTTTCTACTGTAAATACTTCTAGTAGTTAACAGTATATATTACATCAAGCTGCAAACACCCGAATAATCGCCTGTGAGCACTTATTCTTACATATATTTATATTTATAAATAAATCTTTAAATATTATATAATTAACACATCTTTTCAATTCTTAATTCTTAAGAGCTTAATTAATCTGAGTTCTCTTCTTCTTATTTTTCTTTTATTCAGATGACTTTCTTGATAAATTAAAATAGTAGTACTAAGTGTATCAGTGATAGACTCTGTAGATGCAGTTTTTAAATATCACTGATAATAATTACTAAAATCTTTTATTAAAAGTAGTAAAGTTCATAGATTTATCTTCTTTAAAAATACTTATTTCTCTATACTATTTCTTAAAGTTCTTAACTAACTTTATTAAAGATATAATATCTTTATTATATCAGACATTCTTAGTCTATACTTATATATAATCTATATTAATAGTTAGATTTGTATTTAAGAAGTCTTTCTTTAAGTTAAACTGTTTAACTATATCTATCTCTTTAATATTATCTTTAATAAGAGATCAGTTATTTAATCACTTCTCTATATCTCTGTTTTTCAGTGCTTTGCAGAGATTATGATATCAGATTCTTATATTATCTTGATAGTTTATAATTATAAGTGAGAGTCAATCTTTTAATAAATGAATAATCTTCTTTATATTATTATTCTCACTGTATATATGTTATAACTCTGTGATATTCACTATTCTTTATATAATATCTCATATCTTTGTCATATCTTCATTCATTTTCTCATATTTCATATATTTGATTTTTCACACAGTGATTTTAATATTATATGCTATCTTGGCCTCTGCAGTGACTTCTTCTGAATACTCAGATTCCAGAGGTTCTTCTAGTTCAGAGAAGATATCAGGTTTATCAAGATTGATGAAGTCCGATATCTTCTTGTTCTTTGCATATTCTAGTATATACTTGTATCAAAGTTTCTAATCTTCAGGAACACTAAGGTGAACTGTCACACTAGACATTGTCTTATCTGTCATATCAGTTATATTGAATGGATTGAGGAATCAGTTCAAGTATTTGAGGATATGATCAGAAATCAGGGTGTATAACAGTTGAGAATTTCAGAACGTATACGTGTGAGGATCAATCATCGGGAATCAGGTATGGTATAACGGTCGAGTATTTCGGACCGTATATGAATGAGGATCAATCGTCTCAGTTCAAATGATAGTTATCAGTTCGAATGAGGATTGGGATCGTGTATAATCGTCTCAGTTCGAATGATAGTTATCAAATTCGAATGAGGATTGGGATCAGTGTATCGCGCTTCTCTTCAGATGCTGCTTACCAGGAATCGGGTATAACGGTCAAGTAGATCAGACTGTATACAAATGAGGATCAATCATCTCAGTTCAAATGATTGTTGTCAAATTTGAATGAGGATTGGGATCGGTGTATCGCGCTTCTCTTCAGATGCTGCTTACCAGGCTCATAACTGTCGGAATGGGTGTCACAGATGAATATGTTGAAGACATATGAATCTTATGTGTATCAAGATCTGCTTGTTATATTATCTGTACACTCTCTAATATATCTATTTCATACAAAAGATAGAGCTATTTATAGTAAAATATATGTGCGAGCCAAGAGAGCTAGCATAAGCGAGTATTAGATGAGCATTGTAGTAAGCTGATGATGATGAGAAATATTGTAGTAATACGATGTTGGTGGCGTTCAGTAGTGTATAACCTCTTTTTCCTGACACGCTGCTAGAATAACTAGAATCAATCTGACCACATATAAAATCTGAAAAGGAGATGTCAACATTCTTCTTCACCGCTAGAATAATAGGCAGCGTATATCAAATGAGGAAGGGAACCGTGGAGCACACGAATAACTGACACATGCCAAACGCTGTTGCGGGGATTTCGGAAGCTCTGGCGATAGGCCCGCATTTAGGAGGATTCTTCAGAAGAAAGTCTTACAGAAGGCAAAATGGCACAGGATATAGAATAGATTTGTTTTATGATATGAGCAGTAACTTAGAGATCACTGTGAAAACTCGTCTGACGTAGGGAGAAAGAGGAACAGACATGCTTTCATTTCTATAGTTACCCAAAAAAGGGAGAGAAAAAGAAAAATTCGCAAGGAAGGTCAAAGAAAAAGGAAAATACAAATCCCAATCCATTTATCATAATCATGTCCTGTTCAATACAGTAGTATCTCTATATGTTTGGAAAACGCCATGATTCCCAACCCCCACCCCCACCCCTTCCTTAACCTCCAAAACACAGGAGTTCAAAACACCGAGAAAGGTCAAAAAAGCCTCGGACAAAGAAAAAAAAGAAAATAGTACAGACCGATTGAGCCAAGTCATCTCAAGTCACATGGTATGACATGAAAGGGCCATGAAAGAAGAATAAGAAAGGAGAAGCCTAAAAAAAAAAAAGAGAAGAAAAGAAGAAAGGGGAAAAGAGAGGGAAAGTAATCGAAAATATACATTTACATCTCAAAGTGGCAAGGCATAAAGAAAGAAAAGACAGGCATCGACAGCTGCAAAGTGCAACTGATATATGTGTGCTAGGTTAAAGTTCGCAATTGGAGGAAGGAAGGGGAAATTTTAAAAAAGAAAGAGAAAGAAAGAAAGAGAAAAAAGAGAGGCCGGGTTGGAAAAATCATGCACTCCCGTCTGAGGGCGCTGTTGACCCTGTTTTGCCTTCAACGGTCATCTTCTCAATGGATTTCCTGCCGATCGCCTTTGCGAAGAGGGTTTGTGGTTTGCCGGCACTGATTCAGAGAAAATAGAGAGATTTTATTAGTTCTTGTTTGTTCAAACTTGGAGGATTTCGATCGATTGATTGATGTAGAGAAGGGTTGGCACATGTGGGGAGGGGGAGAGGGAGAGGAGAGCATGAAAATGCAGCATACTTCTTAAACCGCTTCCCCTTGAGATCGCTCAGCTTCTTGGTACACGGGCTCATGATTCCATCAGATGGCGAGATGTAATGGCCCTTCTCACTATTTGTTGAGAAAAAGAAAAAAAGAAACGAATTAGTTTAACTGTCAACTACAGAGAGTTCTGGCATATATATACCTCTTCCTGTTTTTCATCTTCTCTTTCAACACCTGTCTGTGATATTCCATCGACATTTCTGTTGCAGCTTTAAGATCCGTGCCACAGTGTCCAGTTGTCATTGGCGGTGCCGCTCCGGTGGGGAGATGAGTGTTTGTAGAACGATCGGAGAGCGGTGTGGCCTTCGATGGGCTTGTAGGATTGAATTCCATTGCGGTTCGACTTGGACTGGGAGGTTATAATGTTCGATCGTAATAAGAACTGGCGTACCCGGCACGGTGGTTCTGCGTAGCCTGTGAGCTTTTGGCTATCGCAAGGTAGCTAGCTCAGAGTGAAGTATATTTTTGTCTTCTTTAAACAAACGGACGAGAAGAGTGGTTTGAGAACTGAGGCAGGATAAAATGAAGAGAGATATTTATTAACGGTTGGTGTGAATGTCGGTACAAAGATCGGGCCAGAGGTGGCTTTTATATGTTGTCGGTGATGTCTTTATTTGTTGATCAGTCAGGGAATAGAGCAGCGGCGTCTCCCTCGATGGTTGTTCTTCTTTGGCACGTAATTTTGCACAGCAACAACAAGAGTAAGATGAGCTTGACTTGTATTCCCTGTTCCTGGTCAATAATGCAGCTGATGGTGGAAGGCAATTATTATTATTATTATTATTATTATTATGATTCTTTTCCAGTGGTTTGGGATATATATTATATGGTGGTTATCAGGCCGATAGTTACTACAGCAACCACCACCGCAGCAAGGCCGCAACCAACTCAACTCCCGACAAATAACTAATAGACCAACGCCGGACATTTCTTGCGGGGTGGAGGAGTCTCTCGTCTCCGTCTATGACTCACCGTCATTGCTAAATGCAAATCCCTCCCAGTCCCCCGGGAATCCTGGAGCAACTCTCTCGATCCCTCGCCCTACGCAATTGCCGTGTCAATTGTGGAGTCAGCCAGGGCGCGGGATCTATATAGAGAGAGATAGAGAGATAGAGAGAGAGAGAGAGAGAAGCATGTTTCCACAACAACAGTGACAACAACCAAAACAATAGTAGTGAACAAAGAGTGCCAACACATTCTCCCCTTTCTCTTTATTATATCCATGGGAAGTTTGATCATGTTTGTGGTAATTATATATATCTATATCCCCCATTGACATATATACCCCAGCGGAACCAGAGAGAGAGCGATCCCTCCTTGATCCATGTGAAGGAATAACGAATGACCCCGGCGAGAGAGAAGATAGGATAGATAATATTCCCCTCTCTCTATTTTCCCCCTCTACAGCCCAGTCTTTACCAGTTACTAAGTCCCCAAGCCGCGAGCACACAGCTCTTCCTGCTTCCTTCTATGCCATGTCTCCCGGACAATATTCGCAAACCCGGTCAAAACAGACAGACAGGCACAATACACATCTCCAACCAGATTCCATGGCTAGCTCATAAAGAAGCCGTTCGATGCAAAAACAGAAAAGATGACTCCTTCAACTCCCTTCATCCCCTTGTCTTGTAGAAGTGGAAAATCATATAACTAGTTATCTATAAATTGTTGGATAACTCCGGCGACCCAGCTCTCCTGCGCCATCACGTGACTATGTAACATGTTCATGAGCTTCTTTATTTAATCAAAGCAGCGACTTGATTCCTCTACGGAGTACTCGCCCCTATAAATCATATATCCATACAGTACAGAGTACAGGAATGACAATGCACAGAAATGGGAAAGAACTTTAAAAATAAAATAAAATACATCTCTCATTTCAAATTCATACATAATAACATACATATACATATCCATAATAAAATCCCAAATATCCTCCTCAGCTAGAATCCGCGCACATTATCTATCTCCTTTGGGGGGGGGGAGGGGGTTACATGTTTGTATTCTCCCTTTGTATAGATAGATATAGACATGATTTTGATATATAACGGCCATATACATTCCCTTACCCACCACCATTAAGATCCCAAAACCCATCATTATTATCATTATCATCATAAAGGGGAAAACTCCCCAAGATCCTCTCGAATAGAAGCAAGTGCTAGGAGACACCTCCCAAGGGCAACGAAGATGTTGTTTGTATAATTCCCGTCGTTGGGAAAACAACGCCCCAGACACGCTGAGGTCGGACGGTTAGGGTTTCAAACCACCTCGTTTAAAAAATGTGCTAACTAACAACAACCCAGGGAGAAAACGCAGACACATTTATACACACTCTCTCTCCCTCGCTGCTTTATTTAACGTATCTCCTCTGGAATGGAGGAGATAGGTCACTAAACTCCGCACAGAAGCCATGGCTTCGAATGAATAATTCGTATTATCCATTCACGCACGAGATGAATCCATCGTACCCGGGGGATTCATTTGGTACAGCATCCCGCGTTGCCCATAGCCGATGCAAAATATTCCTCGCAGCCTGGGACTCGACTTGGAGATGCGGGACTGTCCTCTCATACCTAAACCCAAGTCGGCGGAGCTGCCTTGAGCGACATGTTGATAATCCCGGAGAACCGAGGTCTAGGTCATAGGTAGACGCAACGGTGGCAAGGGTGGCAAGGGTGTTGTAGAAACAATTGCGGGTCCGGGGCATGGGAGAAAACAATTCATTCTCCAAACCACCCGGTTGGTTAAAAAAAATAGTCCCATCCCTCACAAAACCCCATCATCACGAGGACACCTGCGGAGCCTCTAGCAGAGAACGCCCCTCAGATCCTTCAGACCCTTCAGAAGGCCCGCGTAAATCCGGTGGACTGCTTTCCGACCTGAGAAGCTGCGGTGGCTGGGTTACCATAATACTGCTGGCGGTGGAATCCGACCGCTGAGAGCCCTGCCGGTGCAATCCGTGATCGTCGCTATCAGACGTCGGGGTTGGTGGCGAGTAGGCGATGGTTGGATTTACCGCCAGGTCATCCTCCACGGACTCGACGGAGTGCGTGCGTCTATGGCTGGTGTTTGAGGCATCCTTGCTGCTGTCCCGGTAGGAGGAGTTGGGTCTTGAGCTAGGGCTTGCGGAGGGCGATTCGAAGGAATGGGTTGAGGAACGGTAGCTCTGGGAGCGGGAGACCATGGTGTGCACGCGCGGGAGTTCGAGATAGTTGGCTATCGAGCTGCGGGAGAAAAGCACGAGCCCGAAGCAGATGAGGACGAAGACACTTTGGATGATTGAGATGCGCTTTTGGAAGAGGAGCTCATCGGCTAGGATTCCTAGTTGGCTGCTCATGGCGAAGACCTCCTGATGATAATGAAGTCGTTGTTGTTCGAATTCGACGGCCACGGAGTGCCAGACCTGGTCGTACTGGTGGCGAAATTCTCGGAGCTCCTGCAGCACCGATGTATTTAAGTTTTCGAGGAATGTGGTGGTTTTTGCTAGCTGTCGCTTTTCCACTTTGCTAAAAGCATCTCGAAGGATGCGTGACTGCTCTTCGATATACTGTAACGAGAGGGAGGAGTTTGTCTCCAGCATATGCAAACGTTTGTTCACGGATTTAAAGAAGGATTCTTGAGTCGTAGGGTTAGGTTGATGCTGCTGAACTGTAGTCGACGGTTTCGATGACTCAGATGAACCACCGTACTCGGTCTTGTGAGTACTGGTGGATGTCGCATGTTGAGACTCGTTAGCAGGATTTTGAGCGCGGGAGTCCGTCACGGTAGGCGTAGTTTTTTGGGTAGGGCTAGCCACATTCGAAGACGATTCAGCACTGGGAGTTATCGGCGTGGCATCCTCTGCCACTTTAGCAGGGCCATGAGCCTGGACTGAAGCTGACTGAACTGCATCCATTGATTGGTTGTGGGCACGAGGTGCCTCCTTGATAAGGCACACTCCGTCTTCCTCTCCGGCAAGACTGCGCGATAAGATCGCCCCAATATCAGCCTTTGGAAGACATATATCCTCCGGCTTCTGAACGCGAGTTGGTTGCACGTCAAATCCACCAGCTCCAGTTGAGCCATCACTCTCCTTCCCGACAACCTTGCTCTGATTAGCAGCGGGATTATCTGGTCCAGATTCCGAGGCCACGTTGCCCTGAATCTGGGCTGAATTGTGGTCTTCTAAACGGCTAGCTTCTCCATCATTCTTGTATTCCTCCAGCATAGTGGTTCCATGCACCCTAATCAAGCTAACAGGGCAATAAAATTCGTTACCGTAATGAGTCAAGAATTCGATCTTCACATATCTGGCCCAAATGAGGGGATTCTCAACTGCGAAGGCTTGAACCTCTCGAGAATTAACTGCTTCGTAGGTGCCCAGCTCCCTCCACATATCGGGTTGTTTGGGGGGATATCGGTCCGAAACGCTAACTCTGAACGTGCGAAAGATCGAACTGAAAAACTCATAGTTGGCTAGCACAATAGTATCGATTAAAATATCGTCACAGAGCTCGACTATCAAGAATTTATCCCTAGCCCTACACTCGTTGAGCATATAATTGTCTTTATTCTCGGTCAGAACGGACGATGCGCCGCTGCACTGGGGGTTGGTCTTCAGCACTGTAGCCGCGCAATCAAACGATGCATAATTAAATCGTTCCTTGCATGTAGTCCCCGCATCCTTTCTCTTAGAAACACCTCCACGAGTCGTAGTTTCAATCTGCGTTTCTCCTTCTGCGCCTCTCGTAGCCGACTCTGCCCCATCGGCATGCGGAGCTTGACCTTTCCCAACCTTCCTCTCCCATGACGCCGGGCCAGAATTTTCAGGCCCAAACCCACCGAATTCCAACGCAATCTCACCGTCTTCACCCAAGGAATCCAAAGAATTGTCAATCCCCATAGGGCGCTGGCGTCTTCCGCTGGCCTCAGATCCAGCACCTTGGCGATCCCCCCTAACATGATCCACCGATTGGCCCACTTTTGCCAAATTCTGCTTCTTCCACTCTTCGAAAGAAAGAAAATTCGCATTATCAAGAGGCGACTCCGTATCTAAGTCCTGGTCCAGACCACTTGATCCTGACGTAGTCGCTGTTACTGTTGATGACGGCGATGGTGAAGCACCAGGGGGAATCGATGCATCAATGTCAGCTCCTCCAGATGAAGAATTCGACGTATAATTTTCGACGTGCCCAATACCGGCCCATTTCGGTTCTAAGCAGACAGGGTACTGCATGTATTCCAACTGAATATCCGACAGGTCCCTGTTGGGACAAGTTGCATCTAATGCTCGCGAGCTAATATTGGGTTGCTCGAAACCCAGATTTCCCCCCGCGTGCACAGCAGCAAGTAAAGCAATAGCCCAGAAGTATAGCAAGCGATCCGTAGCCCGACATTTCGTATGAGCACCACGCGGGAAGAGGGTATAGTGCCAGGCCATATTTCCCCGAGGTAACGCTCGTGATTTCGTGATAAAAAAAAATTGAAGAAAAAGGAATAGAGAAACGGCGCTCAGAGTAACTATGTACGAATAACCACGATTAAGAAAGAAAAAAAAACCTATCAAACTAGAAGCGTTTGGTAAGCATAGGACTTCAAATCAAAGAATCCATAACGTATCGACAACGTTTCAAGTTTGACCATCATGGATAGACAGACAATAGTTAAAAAAAAAGAGCAAAATCGAAAGGACCAAAATCCTCACCTTTTCCTCAACGACAGCAACAGCAACAGCAGATTTGCGGTGCCTTCGCAACGCCAGCACCGGAAAATTCAACAAGGGTCCCTCCGCGTCCAGTTCGATGGCCCATTCTTCGTTTTCCTCACTTTTCTCCTGTCGGATCCGCAGCTACCAGAACGGCAGTCCACAGCATCTCCCTATGTTGTTTATCAGTCGCTGCGCCGTGATTTCTTTTTCTCGTCTGCGGCCGGGCGGATTCTAGACACCAACAACTCAGGTCGAGGGCGTCGTAAAGGAAAGGGAAAAATAGGAGATTGTCAAAGTAATACGATCGTATTCGAAAGAAAGATTGCGGAAGCTGTTGTGGAAGAGAAAGGAGCAATAAGCTTTCGTCTTCGCACAGCTTTGAATTCCGGGGTAAAAAAAAAAAAAATATCTGGCCTCTTGAGTTTGCTTTTGGTAAGGAACCGCGTTAGGGTGTTCGGAAAAGGGAAAACGGCTTGCCGGCCGTTGGCGACAGGGATATTATCCGGCTACAAAGAAGCCCTGTTCTGTGTTGATTAAATATCTTCTTATCTCTCCCTCAAGGTATGTAGTTAGACAGACCGATTCGTTCATATGAGAAAAAGGGAGCTGGGATTGGGACTGAGCGGAAGGTGGTTGGTTGGTTGGTTAGCTTTTAATTAGTTAATAATAATAATAAGCTCGCGGCTAAAAAGAAGAGACGCCTTAACGTATGCCCCACGCGCTGTTGCTCTCTCTAAAAGAAACTGCTGCGAAGAGTGTGAAGGTCGGATCAAAAGAAAGAAGAATCATTCATTGTTTTTCTCTTCTCTCTGCTGAGGATTTATTTATTATTATTTATATTTCTTTGCGCTGTAGTTACTCTACACTGGCAGTACTGCTAACTAACATCGGAGTCGGTGAGCAGAAACAAATGGGGCACTGGGGCAGGCGCCAAAGTGGGACCACGCGAGCCGCCAAAGGGAGACCACCAAACCAACAGCCAACAGGCGTGGTGGCGGCGGGGAGACAAACGATGGGGGATTTCAGCGCTGTTATTTCTCCTACATGTACATGTACATGGGACAGCGTACATTATGGCGGAGTATGTAATGTGCCGTTAACTTATTGTTATTATATTTCATGAAAGCAGTGTCTAGCACACCCGCCCTCTTATGGCCGCGCGATACAGAATGTACTCTATATATATATCACGTCTTGGGTTAAGCAACATGGAATGGATATCTATCTATGGCAAGATTGACATAAAACAACAACTCTCACTTCTCGAGGGAAAAAAATATTTTCATTTCGTTTTCCTGACCGCTAGGCGGCCAAACTAAAACTAAACTACACCCCCCTTCCACTTTTGCAAAACAGGATCGGAAAAGTGGCTGACATGTGTGTGCAAAATGGAAACGAAAACATATTGCGCTCGCCCCCATTTTTCTTTGGCTCAAATGCCACGGGCTTTTTTATCTTTTATATAGATACATAGATATGTATACTTTTCGTTGTCCTCTCGTTCTTCCGAACTCTTGCCATGGATCCTTCCGCTCCTGAAAAATGTTCGATATATCAAAACTGCTGCTTGCTGTGCTGGGATGTGATGTTTTTTACCCCGTGCCAATGGCCAATGGGGTTAAACAATAAAGATAAGAAGGTTAAAAATATAGTAGTAGAAAAAGAAAACAACGACGGTAGGGCTCAAAGAATTTCGACAAGAACCACAGATATGATGGTGGTACAACCCAAAAACAGAATTGCAGCAGAAACGAATCGATTGAAGTTGAAAACGCCGCTCCAGGTGTACCAAATGTGCAATCTCTTCCAAACCAACACCAGCTCGGTTCCGCAGTGCAATTTCCATGTATGCCCCAATAACGGATGTAAAACGTGTGTTATATAGTACAAGCAGAAGATTGATCTTTCTTAGAGCAAGCCAATCCTTGCCTTCAGTTAGGGGAAATGCGCGAAATTTTTTTGAGACAAAAAGGCTGTGTATACACCACAACAAGCGGAAAACCAGGTAAGGCAGTTAAAAAGAATAGAGAGAAGTTTAGGAATAATGATGTTAATAAATTGTAATATGGTTCAAAGTGATTCAACCGGGGAAGGTGGAGAGGGAAAGAGCAGCAGCAGCAGGCAGGCAGCGAACAACCAACAGCTCGGGGATCGCCAGCAAAGAAGGGGGGGGGGGGGGGAATTGGAGAGGGAAAAAAAGAAATAAGGGGAGTATGTCAGTTATAGTTCTCAGATATGCAAGTCGTGCCAGCCACCAATCCAATCGAAATCGTCATCGATGATGGTCGAATATTTCTTCGGTTTGATAGTTTCGAAAGGGTCCCGTCGCCAGTCAATGGCAAGGAAATGTTGATCGACGTGTCGGTCCTCAAAACCCGGAGAACCTAGGCCTGCATCCTTGCGCCAGCTTTTTGACATTTGCTTCTGCTTCCTCGAGCACGATGAATGTTCATGGTTGGGGTGGTATTTGCGTCGTTTGTTCCCGAGAGCTGCCCATTTGTCCATGATTGATTGCTTTTGATGGTGCTTTGGCGAATGGAAACTGGATCCAGGGAGGTGATTCTCTGCAAGATCTTTGTTTGGCTTTAGAGGAGTCGGAATCGCAACGCTCTTTTGATTGTCATTGGGGGAAGAGGATCGAGAATTAGCAGATGACGAGCCCTGGGCTTCGGATAAACCAGACGGACGGGGTGTTGTCTTCTCCATTTGGCTATCCTGGCTCCAGCTGCGAGCGTTTTGTTCCTTTCGTTGCCTCATCACTTCCTTCTTGGACTCCTCTTCCTCTTCATCAAAAAGATCACTCCAGCTCTTGGACATCTCATTGTTACCCTTTCCAAAGACCATTGACATTGCTGGGATTGGCCTTCCGGCACGATCTGGCAGAGAACCGCTAATCGTGACAGGGTCAGAATGAGCTGCGAAACGTTTCTCAGCTGGTCGAATGGTCATGGACTTGAACGAAGTCCCAAAGGTAGAACCCAAGGCAGAAATTGAGGGTGACCCGGCTTGTACGGAGAACCAGGACATGGCCTCCGCTCCCGAGGTTGAGAACAAATCTTCCGAATAGCTTTCCGTATCTGGGATGGCAGAGAGTTGTCTGATCGGTTGAGCTGGGGACTCCTGCAAAGCTTTGGCCCAGGGAAAGGAATCCCCCTGGTTGATATGAGGGCTGGCGATAGAGGGGGTTCGAAGTGGTTCCCTATCCGCATTGGCGGCGACAATCTCACGGTCTTCGGTGCAGAAATCATCAAGGACCTCATCGTCAGTAGTGAAACAGACAGCACGCAAGATAGATTCGCGAATGCCAGATAGCGAGCGTTTTTTCGGGTCAAGTGCCATGGCATTGGAGAGTATCTCAAAAGTGTCTTGAGACATGTTGTGGAAGATGTCAAAGAGAGACTGGCGGTCGCGAGTATAGTCGGCGAAGAAAATATCAGATTCGGTTGGGGTAACGAAGGGGTTCCTCGCAAACAAGATATTCAGAAGACAAATTCCAACAGACCAGATGTCGGCTTGTTCAGTCGAATAACCACTCGGAGTGGGTTCGTATTGTTCTGGGGCCATGTAACGGTCACTTCCAACGCATGCCTCGTAGGACCAAGGGCTACTGGTGGCCAAGCCGAAATCTCCAAGTTTCATCGAGCCGTCGTGAGTGAGAAAGATGTTCTCAGGCTTGATGTCTCGATGGTATAGGCCTTTCGAATGCATATACTCGACAGCGCTAACAAGCTGCAACATCAATGCACGGACATGCTCAACTTCCAAAGGGCCACGATTGTTCCTAATGGCTTCGTACAGATCTCCCATCGAGCAATATTCAAGAACCAAGAATATGTGGGATTCCGTTTCAAAAGAGTGGAGGAGGTTAACGATATTTGGGTGGTGTCCCAGGCGGGTATGGCATTCCAACTCTTCGGACCGTTCATCCACGGCTAGAGGGTACGAGTCGCCAGAGGATGATTTTGTCAAACACTTGATAGCAACTTGTTCGCCGGTCACGGTGTCATCTGCGAGAAACACCATTCCAAACGAGCCATGATTCAATGGTGCCACAGTCCGGAATCGGCTATTGAGGAGCTCTCCTTCGACAAATTTATCCCGCAGGAAATCCATATCTTCCACTGGGAACTGGCAGTCCATGAAGAAGCGGGAGGAGTGAGGGGTACGGCGAGGATTTGAAGGCTAACGAAAAGCACAAAAAAAGAGAGCAAAAAATAGAAGAGATATATATAGACAAGTGGGATAGATGTGCAAGTATAAAATATAATATGAGATCCCCTCCGCCGGATGGGAAAAAAGGAATACCGGGTGAGTCCAAAAGGCGAGGGAGATGAGAAGAGCGAAAACACCGTAACGTAACTTCGGATCAGGGGCTCATATAAGCAAGATGATCAAGGTCGATATATGAATACAAAAGAAATGTTGTCGTCCGGGACTTGGTGGTCGGTACGCAACCGCCGCAACACGTAAAGAGAGTAGGAAATGGGTAAAGACCGTTATGATTGCATCTGGGAAGTTTTGATGGCTGGACTGGATCCTCGAAAAGAAAAAAAAGAGAAAAGGAAAGAGAGTGAGCGGAATCGACAGGCGAGGGTCGATTAGTTGAAAACAGGTATGGCGAAACGTCAAAAGGAGGTAATAAGAGGAGAGTTGAGATTAAATCGCTGCGTTAAAAGGTCGTGATGGGAAAAGAAACCAAAAGAATTAGAGAGATGTATTATTGACGATAGGGGGAACCTCGAACACCTGGCTGGAAGGTTCGTCGGAGACCGGGAGGTTGTTGCTGAACCAATTACTCTGTATGGAAGGGGGAGGACACTGGTTCAGACAGCAATAACAGAAGACGATGAGTCACGGATCAAGAGGGCGACACAGGCAAGGTTGGCCTAAGCTTCGGACAGAAAAGGAGATCCACACGTCAAGGTAGGCTCAGAGCGGGTTTAATGTCCGAAGGGCCTGCGTAGCAAACCGTCACTGACGACTCGAAGGTCTGTTATCGATGCACTTGTCGAACAGATAACATCTGAGGGTGTGGGTTGCCGGCTCGATGACTGTGATCACGACGCGGATGGCAGTTTGATATGGCGGTGTCTGGGACACGAAACGAGGTCCCTCTATTTGCCCTGAAGAACTCAACCAACTACTGAAAGCAAAAGGAGAAATAAGACGCTTGCTACTAAACAGGCGGTTGGCTGAAAACCAGAAGACACAAGCTGCTTTGTTGTTCTTGATGGAAGCTAGCGATCGATGGTTGGTGAAAGTGTCGTTTGGAGCTAGGGAGGCGAGGACAAGGACGGAAGAATATTTGCACTGCAACGAAACGAATCAACAAGAGAAGTAGTTCAACCTGTAACGGTCATATGAGGTAATTCGTTCTCTTGAAGCTAATGCAGTCTCATTCCGGACTTGAGATGGCTCGTGGCGGGTTGGGGTTGGAGGAGATGGGATGACGAGGCGAAGTCGAGGTAGGAGGTAGAGAAGATGATGAAGATAGAGAGAGATGAGTGGATGAGAAGAGGAAGGAGAGAGAGAGTTAGAGGTCGGGAGACGATGGACGAAGAAAAGGATGGAAGACGGAAGACGAAGATGAGAGGAAAGGAAGAAGGTGAAGGAAAGAAGACGACGACGAGGAGGAGGAGGAGGAGGAAAGGAACGGTGATGTGATGTGATGGCCGAGTGAGATGATGATGACTGACTGACGAACGATGGAATAATGAAGATCCGGGGGAGAAGGAGAAAGAACGGCAAAGATTGGGGGCGGTGAAGGGGCGCTCCGACAGCCGCTGGCGTGGGTACCTGGGCGGTACCTCCGGCGATGCTACCACCTAGCGGCAATGACGTTGCAAAGGAGTGGCAAGGCGTCGGTCCTTGCGAGGTATCTCCTGACCTGCTGACTACTAGTTACTGCTAGGTTACGGAGTACTTGACCCCTCCAAGAACGTCGAATGGCGGCCAGGCGCGTGGTGCTAAGACGCCACCCCGGCTCCCTACTATACGCAGTACACACCCTCTGGGATGATATAAATGCCACGCACCCGCTTATGTAAGGCTGTTTTTTAGCCCGGCTCCTGGGCATGGGAACCGGCGAATCAGGCAGCTGCAGGCAGGCTGGGCTGTGGCAATGTTTGCGCGTGCTGTTTCCCTCGCAGACTCGCAGTAGTCCAGACTGCAGTTGGGCGCCCGCGCTGTCAACGCACCCAAGTCAGTCAGCGCAGCGCACTTGCCAGTGTTGCCACCAACAACCAACAACCAACAACAAAGAGTTCAACAACTCAACGGCCTGGCTCATCCGTAGCTTCAATCAACCACTGTACCGTACCTTCATATCATTATGCAAGTTCTACATATTTAGCCGAATCGAGGAGACTACCAATGACCAAGAAGATTCATTGCGAACACATTATCTTACTATTTCTTTATTGCACCACTGTGATTAAACATCCCTCCTCTGTAACTAACTAACTACAGGTCATTAATAATATTATTACGCTACGTACGCTGTATGTTTGTTGTCTGTCCTCGACTCAACATCCTGCACCAGATCGGCTAGCTCGCCCTTCAAGTGTTCTCCCAAGGTTTTGAAGTTCAAAAAGGAAGAAATAGCGCGTTTTAGCTTCCCACCTAAACAGCAAAAACTAAACTACTTTCTGCTGGCTGGGTGTCTCGCTCAAACTAAAAAAAGGGGGTGAGCCAACAACAACCAAACGACGTCTGGCAAGCCAAGGGGTTGTGCAGATGGGAAAATGGAGCTTGGTTGTCTAATAAAATAATTGGACGCGGGGGGCGGGACGGCCTGGCAAGAATAATAATAGAGAATAGAGAATAGACGGCTCACTGCCGGTTCCGAGGGAGCCCCTACCTTGTTTTTGTTTTGAGACCGTTCCACCGCTTTCATACTGCTGCACAAGTATGTACTACTCATCCCACCATACGTGAGTGAGGGTCGTTTTATTCATTACAGCGTATTATTATTATTCTGAGCCGGGCGTCGCTCTGTGGTAATAATGGTGGGGGAAAAAGGCATTGAAGACATCTCTCATCTCTGACACAGAGCAACGAGCATCCGGTCCTTCAAATAATAATGCAGTCGAGCATAGCATGGTTGCTTTCTCCCTCCCTCACGCTATACGCTGCGTACCCACCCCCCCCCCCCAAGCGTCGTGGGCCTTCTATGGAGAGTGGACACAAGTGCCTGCCCCTAATCTAGGTTTATGACGCAGCGCCAAACGAGGGGTAACAATGTTAAAGGGGATAGGGGGCTGCAGTGTTTGATAAGCGGCAGGATCGCTCTGTACGCTGCGTAATTGCCCAGGTGGTTGTTGCGCCAGTGCACCAGCTGTTGTGTACGCTAAGGCCCAAAAACGCAAAGCTTCTGTGCCCAGACGAGACGCCAAAGAGCATCGTCGGAAGAGCTGCGCTTGCTCCTGAACTGATTGGTCATGGCTTCCTGTCTCGCTTTCATTGGTTCTGCAGCGAAGTTAGTTGCCCTTTTTGGTGTAAGAGGAACCGCCGGCGGCCCTGGTACGGCCCGAATCGTCAAAAGGGGAGGGGGCCCATCGAAGCAATATGCTGCGTAATTATGTGTGCGTGGCACAAACTAGCTAGCATCAGACTGGCAATTCCAATTCGATAGCTCTGATCGAAGGTGGACCGGCTATTTTATGAGGAGTAATTATGCTGCATGGCACCTCCTCCAAAAAAAATTCGTGGCGGTTGACGGCTTTGTGTATGAAGAATGGACGATATGTGCAGCAGGCCACCCCCCCTTTGACGCAGCTAAAGATCCTCCCAAATGGCCCTTCTCAATTGGAGGGTTTCAGCTTCCCGCTCCCGATTATTCCCCTCCAGCTCCCCTCTACTACTCCCTGCTCCTTGAGACGCCTCTTGCAGGTTCGGATTTTTTTACATTATCAGCCGTTACGGTGTAGCTAACTAACTAGTTAGCTTATCAGATGATGCCCAGAAGATACCCTACCCCGCCCAACGACTATTGACATGGGCTACGTGGAGCGATCAGGAAAGCTGAGCATATGATCCTCAAGGACCGGTGGATTAATCAATCCTGATCAAGGTTAACTTAACTATCTCTCAACTACTGTACAAAACCACGCCATCATTGGAATTGATTGATTGATATGATTATTCTCACACCGCCAGCTCATTTGCAGTCTGGATGTCTGGACGCTACACTGTATGTAGCTGACAGACTCTGGCCATGTTTATTGATAAATCCATTCTGCCAACAATCAGATTGCAGTTTGAAACTGGTTAATCAGTTTCAGAATAAATAGTTACCATTGCTGTCAACTCTGGTGTGAATATTAGTTATATCTTGCCAGTGTTGCTGAAAGGCATCTATGAAGTGATGTAATACATGTATTGTCTTTGAGTTAAATAAAAACTATGCATAGATAGATAGATATGTAGCACTCTTCACAAGTTTTCAGATCTCTATATCTGTGGATAATCTTTTCTTCTGTTCATTAACTAGCTCACTCTTCTTGCTACTGTCTGTTCTTATTATCTCAACAACTGTTTTCTCTGCTTTTTCGAAGTATTATGAGATTCATTGATAATAATATATGTATGTATGTATGTATGTATATATACATCAGTATAACTATCAACTCTAAATCTCTAAATCTCTGAGTATCTATTACTTTTTACTTTTCTATTTTTTCCTCATGTGAATCAAATGCCTAGTTACTCTATTCATTCTCTCATCCTCTTATTAATTTATCATTTCATCTATTCTAATAGCAATATAAATGTTAGCTACTCATGACACTTCTTCACAGAGTCTCTCTGGTATTGCAGTACAGCCACATGACATCGCATCTTGAAGGATCTTCAAGACATGAGAACAGCAAAGGGAACCACAGACATGTACAGAGAGACAGATGATCAGAGAGACACACAGGCATGTACATGTACATTAAATTTACAAGTACATGTCTATGTTAATGTTCTTCTTAAAGTGTTCACACATTTCTGTCAAAGTGCATGTACAGTAGTACATGTACTATACATGCACAATAATTATACATTCACATCACTGTTGCTGCTCCCCTTTGTTAAGTAACAGGAATCAAGGTCTAGAATACAGATTACAACCAGCACTCAAATTGTCAGGTTACACGTACATACATGTACTGTGCATACCGCCCAAGGACCAAGATTATACTCCGTATAGCGGAAACAATTCCCCGAGGGAGGTCTATATTTCTTCTGGATTCAAGTATAGTATGATAACAAGGTTACGAATCTTACGATTACGATTGCGCAGGGCTTGGGCTGGCCACCCGCCAGGAAGAAGTGGACTTTTTGTTCTAGAGCAGGCCAACTCGCCTAAATAGGTTCGGAACAACGATGGCAGGCAGGAGGAACATACTGAGATTCAAACGAGCTGGTTCCAAAACGAACGCGAGGGCAGATTAAATAATCAATAACCACCCAGGTATTGGGGTGTTAAGCCAAAAAAAGAAAAAAAGGGGAGAAGTGGAACTCATCATGAGATCAGAGAGGTAATAATGGAGTCATGTTCTTTGGTTTCGAAAAGAGTCTTTTTTTTCTCAGAGAATCTTTTTTTCCTGATGTTTCATCTGCCTGAAACACCATACGTGTACATACATACAACACTTCTTCCATATCCGCGAGGCTCTTGTCTGGCTGATTTAGCTCCAGAGTTCAAACTACATGTACAGAGTAGAGACATTACTATTCATGGCCTGTTATGGCGGAGTCGAATAATGCTCCATCATTGAAAATGAATATCCGTATGCTCCTTGAAAAGGCCTGACCCCCCCCCACCCCTTCCTGTCTGACTATATTCTCTGTTGTAGTCAAGGTGTGTAAAGAAATGGTCAAGAGTGTACCCGCTGAAACCCCAGCGAGCCTCAGCCCTGTAACTACTATGTACATCTGCCACATCATAGGCGTTTGGTTCTGGGCTCCTTCATGGAATATGGGGTAATTATTATCTGTAACTTGGTAACCATGTATATCTGAATACTGTCTGATATCTATGATGCTTCTTTTTCCGGGGGAAGTGGTGGTTCCAGGGTTACTCTGTACTTTTTTTATGAAACAGAGTTGCCCAAGGACCGTTCATCAACATAAAATATGACTAGGTAGGTAGGGAGTTATTTTTGTTGAAAGGGCTCAAGTCTCATTCCTACCAACAATAATGTATAAAATTTGGCGGGGTATGCGCAGTGATATGAAACAATAATAATTTATATTGTTCTCCTTTGCCCTGCTTAGTATCTAATAGTACAAGTTAGGATCTCGCCGGGGTATTAATTGCATTGCCCTGCGCCCTGCCCTGCACAGCGGAGTGTACGCGCTGTATAATGTTACTTTGTAACATGTAGGAACAGGTGTCAAATTAATACTTGCGTGCCGCAGGGACAAACAGACATACATAATTTGGCGGATACAACGTGTTCCAGACGTTGGGCGGTTAGTGGTCCCTGACTTTCTTATTTTGAGGAATACATACTTTTTCGCGCTGGAGTTTAGAACACGTTTCAGATTCAACTGGCTGGGGTCAGATCGGCGGAATTCTTTTTATCAACAGTTGAGGACCAGGAGGGCGATGGTGGATTTGTTTCGGATTATCCCAAGCATAAGGGCGGGCTATTTGTTGTCCCAAGTGCTATTTATTAACTTCAACTTACCGGTCAGGCCAGAAACTGGTTTTATCACTGGAAGTTGTCCGTAGAAGCGGCAAAAATCAAGTTTTTTAAAAACGCCTTTTTCTCAGCGTCAAGTGATTTTCTTTCTATCCATGCAGATTTGCTCTTTTGATCCCCTTTTCTTGCTATTCACGTGGACCTAATTGTTTGGAGAATGCAAGGTTGCTGCTCCTCTCTGTGTTGATACACACGAACAGCTAATGATCAGAAAGCGGGGTGTACAGTACAAATGATATATCCCATACTCGGGGGCCTGCTTGCTGATTGTCTGGTCACTGCAAAAGGCCTCAGGATTATATACTTGGGCTTGCAAAACCACCAAGGATACCTGCGTGTACCAGTTGGCCGGGGGGGAGCTTCAGTTTGAATCTTGGTTGGATGTAATTGATCCTGTGGACTGCGTAGGGAACATATGTGAGTAGGAGGTAGGCGGGGAAGGGGGTTGCTACCTGTTCATGAACTTCAGGTCGAGGCAGTTTGATATTGGTATCAATTGAATTTCTCTTCTAAGTTAGCGAAAAAGCAGAAAGGTTCCCCGGGATATCTATTGTTTATTGGGTTGGGGGGTCGGTGGGTCCGGGGATATGAATCTCCTCTCCTTCGTTCATCGCAGATCCAGATCACCTGTCATTGGTAAAGTTGGGAGCCAAAAATCTCAACGACTTCGGTCTGATCTACCCAGGCTTGGGAATGTGATGTGTGTTCGGACTATGAATACGTGCCATATTATAAGCTCTCTCCATAATTGACAGATTCACCTAACTCGAATTGGTGAACCGTGTGCTGCACAGAGAGTCATCCAGCCCGCTCTCCGCGAATCAAACATCCCCATTTGTTTCATTGTGCTACACCGGCATATCTTAAGACTTATCAAACGAATGAGGTTGCATGTGCGAAAATGCACAACGCGCATGCAGTCTCCAGCTGCAGTGTGTGTGCCCTCTGCGTGCGACTTTTTCCCGCCTACCAACTTGGGTCCTGCGTTCCCGTTGGCAGGTTTGGAACAGTCAAAAATAGAAAAGCTCTCTCAGTTGCTATCGCGTCATTGGATAGATATATAGTTTTTCAGCTGCAACTGCAAATCATATCCGTTAGTGACGGACCGGGGACACACTCCCAATGGCAAACCGTGTTCCCCGTAAACCGGTAATAGGTGCGCCAGCGTGGTCGGCAGCTGCAGTTGCGCGCATTTCGCCGAACACGGAGACTCTTTTCTGTGCTGAGTGCGAGTGTCAAAAGTGCAACTAAGCATGAACGCCGGAGATTGACTGGTTAGCAGGAGGGCAGTATCAATTGATGATGATGATGATGATGACGATACCCTTTTGAATAATGAGACCTCTCGTCAGCGGCGTTTCTAAGTTTCCAGCCTGCATCTCAACCTGGGATCTCCATTCAAAGTTCAGCAATAAATGGCTTCAAACCTCAACATATGATTTGCCAATGCTTCCCCCGCCAGGCAAGAGGGGAAGGTCTAGAATATTAATGAGGGCCGATTTCCTTGCAAGGAGATTTGAAAAAGCTAAAACACGGTCATGGGGGCATTCATAGTCGATGAGATAGATATATTGGTAAGAATAATATCTAGACAACCATCTATCCTAATCCTTACCCATATAGAGAAAATTTCTGAGAAAATGACATGGAATAGCAATTGATGCTACCTGCCTGATATTCTATCGAGGTGGCGTTTCAACATTTATTGAAAAAATTCCCACACTCTACACTGGATCTGCATAGTTTCCGTTGTTGATATTGGACGAGGCCAATCTTGCATTTCTGCTCTGCTTCGGCATTTTGGCCTATTGCACATATTTCATGGCACCCATACATACATAGCTTATTAGATAGGTTAGAGGCAAGAAGAGCGCAGGGGTATCATAGCACTAAGCAGAGGACTCGCACTTTTGCATGGGCTCCATATGGGGGTCACTTGATTGATTCAATCCTTCTGTGAGGTGTTTATCGCTTGCCATCGGGGCTCAGTGTCAGTGATTGTATTGGCGAGCCTCAAAAAGAGAAAGGCGACGATGTATATGTACCTGAGCCATTGCCCATTCGGTTTCCAGCCAGAACTAGCAGAGTGTTTCTTGAATCCCTGGGAGCATTCAAATGATCAACATGACCAAGAAAATAGTTCGTCAAAGGGAGATAGTTGTCTTCAATCTCGTCCTCCATATCTCGTTGGACGCAATGAAAATGGAATTCACTGTAGTTAATATTCATTGGCCTTATTTGGGCGAGATCAAGGGGCTGGCATCCATGGAGTTGGTTGGTCCAACACAGAGTTACTGAGCAGCGGCAAGAGCCTGGGGATTGGTTTAGAAAAAGCAATAATGCATAAGGTCATTCGTTCAAATGAACAATATTTCATGGTAATGCCGTCAAGCTCGCCTATGCTCAATAGCCGCATTACTGCGGGTCTGCGGAATTTGTTTGAAGAAAATGCGAATTATACCCGAGAGAGAAAGACGTTATCAGTACGTTCCAGTCATCGCAACTAAACGGTTAGGGAAAGCGTTTCTCTGCTTTGACATTGGTGTTCGGGCTCTCTCTCCTAACTACCAAGCCGTTGATTCCTTCTCAGGTTCTGACCACCTTACGACGAGTTTCTCGTTCCATCCCATGCCATTAGTCTTCTCCAATAAGGGAATATTTGTATGATATGACGCATAAATGTAGGTACCATTAGCCCATGCGTGTTATACCCATGTAACGGGGACAAGCAGTAGAGAGTAGGTGATATGTAATTTCTTGAAGGTGTAGATTGATGTATATACACGTTAAGTGATGGGAATATGGATATAGATATGGGAAGGCGGAATGTTTGCGAGCTACGTAAAAGAATTGTTAATAAAGGAAAGACAGGAAAGGAATCAATCATTGAGTATTGCAGACTAGAATACTTCATATCGCCCATTCATCCAGATTATCTGTAGCACTGATGAATGGCTCATCGATTTGCTTGATCGCGTATTCGCTACAAAGAATACTATTTACCAACAAATATGTTAGTCCTTTGAAATTAAAAATTTAATGTGCTAAATAGAGGGGGTATGAAGGATGAAGGGAAACGGAGTAAAAGGTAGGGTAAACTTTCAGAACTCACCAAGCTTCAGCGACCAACCCGTCCAAATCACGTATTACCTTCTCCCTCTTCCCTCCAGTATTTATCTCCTTGCTCATTTCGATCTGGAGATCGCGAATGCGCTTCCTCTTCGCGGACCCCGCCGCGTCCAGTACTTTCTTCCCTAGACAGTCGCTGTGGAACGCATGTTGGCACGGGAAGACGAAAAACTGTCGACTAAGCAGTGGTAAGGAGCATATCCAGCATTTCTCCCCGGGCTCAACAATAGCATATCGGGTATCAAGTGCCGCAATCTCTTTCCGTATCTGTTCTGCTGTATGGGCTGAATTATCCATTTCTTGCCGCAGTGAGTCGATGTGTCGCGAGTAGTCTTCCAACGCCGTACAGATCTCGTCCTTGAAATCGTCGACGACGACAAAATCGGGGAAGAAGGGGATTAGGTCTTCTATACGAAGAAGTTCACAGCGGCGTAAAAATTCAATTGCATCTTTGATTCCAGTGCCTGGTTGCCTGATTTTTTTCTCGGCTACGAGGAGCCATAGCTTCTTGCGAAGTTTGTCATTTCCTTCAGGAAGATCTGCAACATACGCAGCGAGTTCAATGTCGTTATGCTTTAGAGCAAGCTCCACAGCTTGCAGATATTGGCACATCGTAGTATAGATGTGAACGCATGACTGGACACGGTTATGCTGGATGCATAAGCGGAGCGCAAAATCGGCATCATACGGTGGCGGAGAGGAAGGTTGAGAGGAGAGGTATGTTAGTAAAGCAGCTTCTGACGGAGAAGGGTGTGCCGCATGTATGGAAATTAGCGTGTTGTGTACTGCTGCTGATGGGTTGGGGTGATTGGCAATTATGAAGTTCAGATAACGAACGGCTTGGTTTTGGCTGAGAGGGACCTTCGTGGTGTTGTTGTAACTTAAAAGGGCAGGAATGAGCTTTTGAGGGTCGAGATCAATCTGTCTCATTAATATATCGACCAGATCTGTAGCAACGTGTGTCATGAGAACGCTGCTATACTTGTAGAAAACGTCTGGATTTGTCTGCTTCTTAAGCACATTGAGAGCTTCACCCCATTTCTCTCGCTGGATCCAGTACGAGAGGACAAAATTGTAGTCGTTGGTCACACTCGCAAAATATAGCAGCTCCTCCTCCCTTCCATGACTGCCCACGATGTCATATACAGTTTTCGGATCGAGGTCTGCTTTATATTTTTTAACGAAATCCTGAAATTCTTCACGCACATCGTTGAGTGCATCTTTCGATTCCCCCGCGTTTGTCCCTTCCACCAACTCCGCTTTCGTTGCAATAGTGTCATCGAGTGAGTTGAGTTTGGACATGAAAACTTCAACAAGCCAGTTTGCAATCATCGCCCTTTGCATTATTGCAGATTTTTTATATGTCGAAATTTGTGTCAGTAGGTATTTTCTTAGAGCATCCTGTTCCCCTTTATTCAAAAATGTCAGGCAAACCTCCTCGAAGCTTTTGCTGCTTTTACCCCATACCGCGGCAGCTTCCAGATATTGGCCTTTATTCGCGAGATGGTCACCCGATGCTGTAGCAACAGCGTCTTTCTGCGCCGAGCCACGAGCATACTGCAGGGCAGCGTCGAATTTCTGCTCTTTCAAAAATACCTTCCATATATCTCTGTCTTCATCGTTGGCCGCAATCTCAAAGATTTCCTTACCAGCGAAGAGCCAATATGTATTTTTCTTTTGGTCTGCCACTAGACCAAGAGTACCCTCGCCAGGCTCAAGAACAGCTTGATCATATACGATCTCTCCGCTTAGCCGGTTGACTGCCACGATGCGACCTTCGACCAGAGTTAAAATATGCCACTGGGTCAAAGTCATCCCTTTTATAGGGTCCTGTATCAATTTTCGGCCCCCTCTGGAAGACTCGGATGCTGGCAGAACGGACCGGGCTAGCAGTTTGGCTTTATCAAAAATACGATCTCCCAGCTCTGGCGATGACGATGATATCGGAACTGAGCCGTACAAGACCCCTTGGGACGAGAGCCATGCGAACTGTTTCCCGGTGGTTTCTTCATCGTCTCCATATTCACCTTCTGGAGGATCGGGTTGCATTGCAAGGAGCGAAGGCGCCAACGGGGATAAGACTGTGACCTCGTAAACCAGGGGGGTCTCTTTATGGAAAAGGTCTGCATATATTGAGCTACCGCCTTCTTTGCCATGTTTCCCCACACGTCCCATGAAATATAATATCTTCCCGTGTGACGATAGTATAACATTTCTGTAATCCTGCTTTCCCGGAACTGAACCCACCCAGATACCCGTCACCGCCGATGCGGGGATCTTATACACGGAATTAACATATCTTTCGTCCCTCCGGTAGAACTCCGATAAAGGTTCGATGTAAACCTCATAGACGTTCCCATCTGTCGCGCCAACTAATATCTCTCTGGTCGAAGCAGTCGGTAAGGAAGGATTCCACGCGATGCTCTCGATCAATACACCCTTCAACCGAGGGAGGGCTTTGGGTTGTCGCGACTGTGTGTGGAGGTAATAATTTTCGCCAAGAGTAGTCGTGATGATAAGATGTGAAGCCGAGGGATCGAGGAACATGCGTCGAATCAAGCCTATCTCTGAGGACTTTTTCGGTAGATCGATATCTGTGGAGGAAGTTCGGGGGTCTGATTAGCGTCCTATATCCCTCGTTTCTGTGAAGGATGGCCCGCCTAATTTAAAGGTATCTTATCTTACCATCGATATCCTCCGCATTATCTAGATCAATCCGTAAAATCCTCCCCGACGCTAAAGCAAGAACAAGAACGTTGTTCGCGACTTGCGCGGCGACGAAGTCCGTGGCTATGGAGAACTTAAGCTGAACCCGCTCGACATTGAAGATAGGCGTAGCGGTGTCAGCAAGCTTTGCCCAGCTGCTGGCAGCAACATAGCCGCTTGATCCATCCAGCGCCATTATGCGCTAATATGCAAAAGTTATAACATTGCGGGATTCGAGTCGCGTATTGTGATATCAGTTGTGATATCAAGGGTAGTCGTTTTCAAGTTTCTTGCTGGAGCTCGGTTGCCTTGATGCAGATGGCGCCAAGACACCGCCCCAACGTCATTGGATGGCTAGTGATTACATAAACACAGTCCGGCAAACCTTAACTGGAACTTAGAAGTCGACAGCCACTGAATTGAATAAATAATATATAAAATTACACCCTCATAGGGGTAGTGTTTCCGCTGTAGTTAAATACCTATGCCGGGCATAATTCTAGAAGGAATAACCATCTATGAAAGAGACAGGGAAGCCATATGCAAGTAATGGTAACAATAAAAACAAGCATGGACGATGGAACAGGCATAACGGGTCATTACAAACCAGTGGTAGTTTGGGGTAATATCATCATGCAACCAAAAGAAATATTCCAAACAACCTACAGTTACCTTCACATAATTATACATTCTCGGTCGGGATTTTCGCCTTTCTTTAGAGTATGATGGCCTCGCTGCTTCGCCGTGTTCTCCATCTTTTCCTTGGATAGCTTTGCATGCTTAGCCTTTTCTCTTTTTCTACCCCTGGAGTCGCTGGTATTGCTCCCTTCGAAATCTCCGTCGGAGAGAGGTTCAACGGTAATTGCCGCACCATTTCCCGTTGATGCATGAATAACGTGCGCATCGACTCCTCCTTCTAACGGCCTCCCCGGGCTAATTGAACGATGGGCTTTTGCGGATGTAGGCCTGGAGGTCGAAGTCGACTTGACGATGTCACCAACATTTGGTTCATGCTTTGTTTTCGCAGGGAGAGGGTCCTGTGGGTTTTTAGATGGCACGCCAAAGGATTTAAACTGATGATTGGGGTTGTAATTCCCAAGGGCACCATGTGATTCCATCTCAGAAGCATCATTCACGGGAGGTGGTGCGGAGATTGTCACGTCGGGGTTTGTATTATAAAATAGTTTTCGAGACAGCTTTTCCTCCCCTTTGGAAGATGATAGCCGCCTGCCCGATGCTGCTTCAGAGTCACTGTCGATAGGCAATATTTGGAAGAAAAGAAGATAAGGGGACTCGTCAACCAACGCCTTTTCTATATCGACAAGGGTGATTCTTTCTTGGGCCAAATCGTCGAAACGCATCCAGTGACGACAGTATTCCGACGGCTTGTAGGGGTCATTAATCGGGGTACCTCTCACTAGGGCTATATAATGACCAGACTCAACGGAGTTCCCGCGATGGCAAATCACAGCCTGTAGCGAAAGTTTGAAATTCCCGTATAATGGCCCTTCGTTTCCCATTTCATCATCCTGAATGAAATGTGGAAGTCCAATTTCGATCGGGATATCAACGAATGTATCTCGACGCACCGCATTTCCATTGGGAAGGACAGAGTAACGCTTTAAGCATATTCCGAGAATAGGCCTTCGGGAGGAGAAATGAATTGCAGATTGTGCGTCGCTTAGTGTGCTATCGGTGTACCAAGCTATTCAATTGATCAGAAACATTCCGCGATTACCCGCGAGGTAACTTACGTATCAGGCTGAATATCTGCCAAGCAGGCATCATGACCTCTTTGCGAATACTCCCTTTCCGGGCTTTATTCGGCGTTACTCGATTAATTGAGCCTTCATTTTCCTTGAGACTATCCTCAGGAATGAATCGTTCCTCGATTATGCTGGTTGAGCGAAAGCGCCAATTTGGGCGCGTTGGAGGGGGGTTTTCGTGTAGGGGAGAAGGGGAATCGGTTACTTGCGTGGATTTTGAGAAGAAAGACGACACTGAAATAGGAGATGCGGTTTGAGACGATGTGCCCAAGTCAGTTGTTTCGACATGGACAAACGATCCCTTCGCCATAGAATCTATTGAGTTTGCCGACATCCCTGTATCTCTACGTTCTAGATACCTCTTGACGTCAATTCGGTTGTTGAAGTACATTTCAAGGCAGTCTTCTAAGGTTATGGGCTTGCCGTCAACTGTTTCAGAAGGGATTGCGACCTCCAGTAGCCGCTCATTTATAAACTTGTGGTCATCACCTGCCTCTTCTTTCCCTGTATGAAAGATATCCATTTTTAAAGTGAGCAGGGGGAGATTGAGCTTCTCAGTGATGAATGTGAATGCCTCGGACACATCTTGCTGCTGCGGAAGGGCAGCAGCGTTCCACCCACACTGTGCTAGCGCATCTTGTACTTGCTTCGTCTGTTAAATGTCCATGTCAGTGTCTTCTAACGGCGGTAACACAAGGCAGGTTTTCGTGAAACGGCAGATTTGAAAGAGAATACCTACGAAGTCTGTCGTAATCAGTTTCCCAGATCTTAACAGATTTACCCATAACCTTAAAAGAACGGACAGATTCCGTCGAGGTTCATCATCGAACGAGTTGTATAGGATAGCTTCAAAACAGTCCAAGCGAGCAAACATCGCGAAGAGCAGGGCGTCCAGATAGCAAGTGACGCCATTTCGATTTTCCGCACCTAGCAACTTAATAGAAGGATTATAAAATCTTAGGATGCCATGGAGTGAATCATCAAGAAGAATGAGCAGGTCGTATGCTTCGTTCACCTCACCACAAGCGATTTTAGACCGGAGCGCATATCGTATTTGCGGTTCTCCAAGGGTGGCAACTCCTAGGTTCGACAGTCTCCGTTGTATCTCTTTGATCTAATATACAAATTAGGAAAATAGTAAACAATGAGGGCAGCTCAGTGCTAACCTTGTTGTCTTCTTCCTCGATTTTAACACCCTGGTCATGTTTCGATTTCTCCGATGAGAACAGAGTTAAATGTGTAAGGGAGGGTGATTTAGGGGCGGGATCCTTCAGAGGAAAGATTCAGCGTCATTTCTGATATATAAGTCGCTCAGAGCCATAGGAACCCGAAACCATGCGTACAACTCACATTACCGGAATCTAGCATCCTTCGCCATTTCGATGGTGATGCACTCCTCGATTTGCTTCGCCTCTCTCTTTTAGAGAGAAATCTCTGAATCCCACTCATGTTGACTGATCTAGTCGCAATCACACTTTATACATTGGTAATGACTATTGACGTTTTTTAACAGAACTTAAAATGTATGCAAGACTTTTATATCATGGCATAACTTTAAAATGAGCCGCGCTGAGAAATTAAGCTTGCCGCCTAGTTCCAAGGAAATGAATGCATCAGCAGGAGCCACAATATCACCAGCCTGCATAGTTAATTGTGCCACAAGCGCAAGAATCATACATGTCTGACGTTGAGGGATGCTGTCTCGTGGTCCAAAGAGCGCAGCTGACGCCCTCTCCAGGAAGGTGGGTTCGTTTATAGATCTAGAACTATCAAGATTGTGATATCGACCGGTAATGATGGATGAAGCAGGACAATAACCAGAACAATATCCAGGGAGCTCAAACTATATAACATCGCAATCTATAATGAAGTATTTCTGAATGTTTGTGATATGACAAGTTATAGTCGCTGCCTGTGGCTGATTGAATGCGGGCAAAGGAAACTGCGCTTTCCCTTTTTGGGCGGACGGGGGGGCGGCTTATTCATCATTAACTAACCACGTGATATCCTTGTGCTAACCTTGGAAATTCTGTCGACCGCAAATCTTTCGATATCGCGAACTCCGAATCACGGGGAGCAATTCACAACCAACACGGCACCAATGGCTCTCTGCGAACCGTCAATGCAATTTTCCAGGGTGCTCCCCAGAGCCCTTGTATTTATACCCAGTTCCCGGACGCCATCATACCGTCGCAATGTGTCATCTGCCGCCCTGCCCGAAACTATCACAGATGATCTCGACACAAACTCAAGCTTCTCTCAATCTTCTTCCCTACCAGAAGACGAAATCAAAGCCTTTGATCCTGTAGCAAGAAGCAAAGCACGCAAGAAGCCATTACCTCCTAGTCGGTAAGCTTTCGGATTTTCTTTTGACTGTACCAAAATCATGGGATCCCCTGGGACTTTCGCATATTCCGCCCAGCAATCACTTCCTAAACTTCAAGCGCTATTTTCTCCCTTTACTTTCTCTACTTATTATCCTTATTTCTCACACATGCCGATATAGCTACCAATTCCGCCCTCCAAAATATGACCGCGGCCCTCTCCATCCCCATCGTCCACCTCCAGCCTGGGACCCCGCATCCCGTGAATTCATCCCTGGCCCTTTTACCCTCCCCCGAGTCGAACAAACCTATGAATCTACCATATCCCACGATATCCTCACACTCTGCTACGTACATAACCCGCCCGGATTCCGGCCACCCCCAGTCCCACAGCGCCTTCGCGGCTGGGACGACAGTTCCCCGTATCATGCCAACCGACCACTCCGTGGACCTCGAGGAGGCGACGTCCTCCGCCTTCTCCGCAAGCCCATAACGTTCCGCAACATTCCAAAACTCGACAAGATCACAATTCACAGCTATGTGAATCAAGTTATAGACAAGGGTTCCGCGCCGTTGCATGTGGCTGGTATGGCTATACAGGCCATATCTAATGTTCGTGTGCAGACGCATAAGATGAAGGGTAACGTTGCCAAGTGGGGAGTTGTGCCTGGTAAATCATACATTTCCGTTACGGCCGAGCTGAAGGGCGAGGACATGTATCATTTCTTTGGAAAGTTGGTGGACGTGGTGATGCCGAGGATTAAGGATTGGAAAGGTGTCAAGGGGAGCAGTGGTGATAGCAGCGGAAACATTGCGTTTGGCCTTGAACCGGACATGGTGGCTCTGTTCCCGGAGATCGAGGTGAATTACGATATGTACGTCTCAAAGCCCTCTCCACATCCGAAATACCCGCCCTCCTTGGGCTCTCTCTTGCTGGAAAGTGCAAATATCTGACTCGCTTCTCTTCTGTTACTATAGGTACCCACCAGCCATGATACCCGGTTGCCACATAACCATTCACACGACTGCAAAAACAGACAAGGACGCCCGACTCCTCCTCAACGCAATGGGCATTCCATTCTATGGTAAATATGTAGATTAGAAGCTGATTAGAGTGAATGGGAGCGCACTCGGAGGGAATGCTGGCGTTTGTTTGTTTGTGGTTACTTTATCTACAATATTCCTTTTATTTAGACCGTTGTTCCCTCCTGTGACATGTACTTTTATAAATATGATGCCCTTCGTGTTTGTTTGTTGACCATTCTCTACATTTTATTATTATCCACCACATATGCCATGCACGATCTTAGGGTGCTCGTTTTCGAAAGTAATGACTTGTTCAATAGCTTTTCTTTACTTAGGCGGGGACTTCCTAACGAGGTTTAGTTATTCCATCCATATTTGGCATAACTGCAAATTACGAAAATGGAAAAAGAACAGGACTTCATATTCGAATAACCAATGTATATATAAATAACAGGATTGAAGTAAACAGAAACTTGACAAGGTCTCTGCTAGTTTCATCGCTCTCATTACTATCATCAGCGGCAAAAATGTATGCAACCTTCTAATCAATTACGCAAGGAACGAAACGCTCCCCTTCTCGAACCCAGTCCCGATGCAGATGAATGGAAATGAGAAGCGAAGAAATAAATTGGAAATACCAGAAAGAAAAAGTGCCGCTTAATGTTAACTCAGTAGCATAAAGAGCAAAGGAGCAGAAGGGGGAAAAAATGCATCCAAAAAATTTTTTCTGTGGTGAAAATGACGGTCAATGTTGCTTGGGAGGGAGATTGAATGCAGAGAACAATATACATTAAAGCAAACAGGCTAGGACCAGCTAGAGTGAATGGAGTGGACAGAAAGAGCATGCATGGGTGGTATCGATGATAAAGAAGCAGGGGGTCATTTATATGGGCGGAACAGAGAATTTTTCATAAACCCCATCCAATCAGTAGCATCAATTGCTCCGACTAGGAGCGAGAATCGTTCCAAAATGTGAGAGAAAACCGGAAAGAATACGGAAACGACAATAGAACCAAGACATGAATCATATCCCAAGCGTAAACGCCAGCTTCTTGACGGTCATTGGAGATTTTTAAGGCATCGCCTGTGACAAGAATGGGCTGCTAAGCAACTCATCCGCACTGGGGCGCTTTTCATGATTAATCTCAAACGTCATATCCAAGAACGCCATGGCCTCTTTGCTAGCATTTTCTGGCGGTGGCGGACGTGCCTGATTACTGCCAATTGCAAAAATAGCCTGCAGCTGACTGCAATCGGGGAATGGGTGGGCACCAATGAACATCTCAACGACGAGACATCCTAGACTCCAGATGTCGGCTTTCTTCGTATGAGCAGTCTGTCTCACGACCTCGGGTGCCATCCAGTATACACTACCTTGGAGAGAGGGGCGATGTAGATGGCCGGCGCCGCCGCCTAGATTGGCACCACTTCCCAGCACGGTCGAAGCCTCGACGCGCTTGGAGATACCAAAGTCGGAGATTTTGATGCCTCCCTTGTTGTCGACGAGGACGTTGGCACCCTTGATGTCCCGGTGGATGATGTCGCGGCTGTGTAGGTAGGAGAGACCTGCCAATATTTGGCGGACGAAGTTCTTGATTAACGGCTCCTGGAAGGTGTTGTATTGTTTGAGCATCATGGCGATGGAGCCTCCGGGGACGTACTCAAGGAAGATATTGAGGTGGTGCTCGTCAGTGGATGTTCCTAGATACTGCACGATATTTGGATGTTGCAGGCCCTGGAGTAGGTCGATTTCGTGCTTCAGAGCGGTGACCATGCTATTCTTCCTTTGGTCAAACTCTGTCCCCTTGGTGGCGGATGGCAGCTCTACTTGCTTGACAGCCATGAGTTCTCCAGTGATGGAATGGAGAGCTAGGAAGACACTTCCAAATGATCCTTCACCAATTAGAGATCCTTTCATCCAGTTTTTGTTCCCGAAATTGTCACCCGCCAGGAAAGCAGCCAATCCATCATCCTCTTCCTCCCCATCTTCTGCTACTATCATGCTAAGTCGTTCGTTAATTGATCCAGCACCATCGGTGGCAGCGAGGCTAACTGTCTCATCCAGGAAAGTCTGACGATCAGTCTCTCCAGAAGTGTGGTCAGAACCACTATCAAAGGAAACATAGGATTTTCGGTTAGGTTCGATGGGTGATTCCTCTTGAAGTGGCTGGAGTGAAGATGCTACGGAATCGCGGAACGACATCTGGGGTGGTAAGTTGAATTTGGAAACAGATAACGGCCTCGCAGGCCTTGCAGACCCATTATTTCCTGTCAACCAGGTGTCCGCAATACTAGGGATGGGTGGTGCATCTTTCAAACTCGAGGCGTAACTAAGGTTGCTAACAACACTCAATCGACTTGCAGCACGGCTCATACGTTGTGATCTTCGCACGGATAATCGCATCGTCTTTTCAATGTCTTCCTTCTGGTGGCTTGGGAAATACGAGGTGAGTTCGTGGATAATCATTTCACTAGGCGGCCGGGCACCGAAAAATGACCGCAACTTCGCAGCCTGGTGTCGTTCGGAAGGTGTTTGCCGTTGGAACTCCTCTCTATTGCGGTCGGTGGCTGATAAGGGTGACAAAGGTTGTCGGATGTTATGCCATGATTCGCCGGTGAGTTTTTGGAGTTTAATCTGGTTCCGTACATTGGTGCCGCTAAGAGCATTCAAATGTGCCGTTTGGCTTTCATCAAGAGCAATCTGAGCTGCCCTCTGGAGTTCCTCTGGCTCCGGCTCGCCAGCATGAATCTTCCTCAAAATCAGCCGACCACGCTCAGATCTATGGAGGCCATCACATATCTTCAGCAATTCTGAATCAGACAAGCGACGGCAGTTGTCTGGGTTAGGATCTAAGCCGTCGAGCACATAAAAACAGTAGTTCTTATAGTGGGATTCTGGAAGGAGGAGTTTTCTTAGAACGCAAATGATAATATCCTCGGGGGTTTTGCAATGCTTTATATTCAAGACTTTTGTCTGACCGCCTGAATGTATTACTCGAATCACTGGTGAATTGGGTGGAAGTGATCCCATGGTGATTCCATCCATGCTGGGATTTTGTCTAATGTGCATGACTGCTCTGGCGGTCTGGGGAACGTCTCCTGGAATCCCTGAGTTAGAAGAAGTAGAATTGGAGTAATAATTGAAGTAGTTCGAACCTTGATCCCTATCCCTCCGGGAACTTTCCATCGTACTAGCACCTGGATACCTATATGACCGTAGGCCGCGGTCGGAATCTGCAGGAGGCGAAGAAGGCCTGGATGAAACCCTTCCTGATGCTGTGTAGCTTGTGTTGTAGCCTGTAAGGGATGGAAGGTCGACATGTCGAGACCATCGACGATTTCCCCCCGCATGTTGTCTAGAATTTGCTGCGCGGGGAGATTCAGAAGAGGATGGGGTAAACTGGGCAGAATCGAGGGCAGCTAACGAATCCTGAAATATACTGATAAGCAAAAAAGTTACCAGGACTCGTGCAAATATATCTTACCCTATTCCGCTTTTTGCGATTCGATACATTCCTGTTTCTGAGCTGTTTGATCGCAACGAAAATCCGCACTCGGTCTCCGATTTTCTTGATACCCATTTCCTGTAGAATCTTCTGATCGCAGTCAAGGAGATTATCGCCATTAAAATGGTTTGCTAGGATTTCAAGTGTGTTAGAAGACAAATGATGGTGCAAGCAATACGGAGTATGGTCATGCCCAAGGCAATGAACGGAATTTCCCATACCTTTGAACAGCGCTTCATATTGTCCACAGCGTATGCTATGCAGCCAATCTATTACCTTTTTTTCATCCCAGGACCTGTGTTACAGCTTGTTAGTCTTGGTCGAAAGTAATCTCTGTCGAATGAGATATTAACCCACCGGACAGAGTCCATCCCATCATAACCATCGGAGAATTCAGATTCTGTCGGGCTAGAGAATGGGCCATCGCGAGTAGCCGTGGGAAGACCCGATTTATGGGACGGTAAAGACATATAGGAAGTAGATAAGGATGACGGTAGTTGAGATGGGGTGTGTAGTGGTAATCCGGCAGAGTATTGGGGTTGGGAGCTCAACATCGTTCCGCACCCCGAGGTTTAACGGACCAAAAAATTCCAAAACAAGAAGAGTGACGAGAATATATTGAAGCGGACTGGGAGTGTTAACGCCAGTCTAAAGTGCGATGAGTTAGTATACGGTTCGTGGTGCACATTCGCCGGTGGTTGCGGTAATTAAATACTTTACTGAAAGTTCGGATGCGTTAGGGAGTGGTTGAGATAGCAGCGCAGATATTTAAAAGAGGAACCTGCACGGCAACGGTTAATTTTTTGAACCAGAAACGCAGCTCTTTTTTACGCCTGAGATAAATCATAGGGACATACCTCAAAATTATGTTTGTTCCTGAAGAAAAAAAATTACCCCATCGATATGTTCAAGAGTCGTTGACATCGAGACAGGACCGCAGTCCGATATCTGGAGAGAGGCTCTTAATAAGCGGCCACGAAAGACTTCATGAAGGCCGGGGATAGAAGTCCTGCAATACCGGATATAAGTCGAATTTCAAAGCCAGGAAGAAGTGTAGGGGTGAGATCAAAATAATGTCGGATTGGAGGCTGGCTGTCCTGGTGGGGGGTGGAAGACAACGAACGAACGAGCCCTGAGAGCGGCAGCGATCAACAAACAGAGACACTGCACACACTGGAAACAACCCAAAATCAGCAAACAACCTCAGGGTTCAGCAACACCTCGAAATAGCCTTGAGAGAGAACGACAGTTGCAAAAGCTGCAAGTGGATGAGAGACACCGTACTCTGGGGCAGTTGTTGGGCTGCAAAGAGGTGAGGTTGAAGCAAGCGGTGGTGGGTTGTAGTTTGGACGCCCAAGCGAAGGTAAAACAAAGATCAGCAGCGCACCCTTATTGGCTCCAACCGAAACTCGAAACATCCAGCGGCGCAAGTTCTGTGACAAGCCGTCGCCCAAAACCGATTGATGTACGCAGTTACTACACAGTAGAGGCCCCTAGAGGCTAGAAGGTGAGACGCTTCGATCCAGGCGGGCTTGGCTTCAAGGGAGACGGGGAGGAACGGAGGGATTTCTCTCCTTATGCTGCGATCTTTGCGCTGAGTTGTTCCCAATCCTGCGAGTTTCTATTTAAAATAAATAACAGTAAAAAAGCCATTATTCCTTCTATTGGGCTACATAACTAACTCCTTGTCGTTCCTATGTTGCTACGGTGCAACAATGCATTGATTGATTCTTTTATATATGCAGGATGAGGCTGACATAGATACAATACCTCTCAAACGCATGTCTATTTACGCACACAGTACGGAGTATACGACCAGGAACGAGGTGAACCAACCCCAATAATAAAATAATAATAAGAATATGTATGTAACCCCAACTTTCGGCAGGGCTTCAACCTCCTGACATTACTTTCCTAAAGAGGTCTTTTCTCGCGGACAAACAGGGCCTTTGGGTTTGTTGGTCCTCAAACTCGTCTTGTGCCTGTGAACAGGGCAATATTTTTCTAAACATGGAACCTTCACCAACATCCATGGGATGACTATAATATCCCTTATGGGGGGGATGAGGATGAGGGATTAGTCTACCAAGTGTTCCTTTGCGTTTCAATCAAGGGACCAACCAATCTTACATCTATGTAAATATAGGAGCAGTGTCCCTCGGCTTATTTATCAACACACCACACCCAACCACAAGAGCGGCGTCTCACTTTATGAGGATACCCCCCCCTGCTGCGCCAGAATCTGGCCTTTCTTTTTCCATGCTTAACATCATGCACGGAATCTCCGCTAAGAGGCGGGAGGAAAATCTACAACCTTTGTTCCGTTTATCGATTATTTATTATTATTACACACACCCTGGTTTCAAACAATATTCCATTTGAGAGATCTTGTGCTAGCTACGCTGTATACGCTGCGTAATAATATGGCTATTTTCGATGTTGAATACTTTTTACCCTGTGTTGTGTTGGCAATTATTATGTGGCACACAACCCCACAATTCCTTTCACGGCCTCACGTTTCAGGTTTAACCTTAAACCCTGCGTTAGACTCTACTTTTCGGGGGGAAAATATCCTAAATTTGGTCACCGCATACGAAATATTAAATAGCCCATGCTTCCATCGGGCCTCGAGCATAAGAAGCCTTTGAGTTTCCCTCGGTCCTTGGTAACTCGTCTGCTTGCTTTTGTTTATTAATACCCCCATGCTGGCATTTTTGTATAGCTACCCTCGTACTTGTGGGCCAATCAACAGTTCCATCAATCAGGAGATCAATACATCAATCTCTGAGTGAATTGCTATTTCTTCTTTTTCTCTTTTTCTCTTTTTAAAGAAATTTATTTATTTGTTGTTTAAGTTTAACATGAGGAGATAAACTTGTTTCTTCTTTGGCTTCTTCGCAGCTTGTGTGTTTATTTGTGTTTTTTCTTTTTTATTTTCATACAATTGTCCAGGTTCGCTTCTCTCCAAATTAGCTACGGAGTATTGAAAAAAGTAGAAATAGAAATAGAAATAGAAATAAAATGAAAATGAAAATAAATAAACAAAATTCTCCTAGTTTCCAATCATCAGGGGAACCATCCCGAAGAAAAAGAACTAGGAAGCCTGTATTCTACCCAGCAATTTAATTCACAGCGAGAGTTTCAAAGCGAAGAGTACGAATTGTCGTAACTTTTAGAGATTAATGGGAGGCTTTCATTATCAATGCTTTATGATGAATATAACTACCTGTTTGGATTTTTGATAAAGAGAGCCTGACTGGGGATGCAGCCGCGAACCAGAGGAGCAATCAGCGTGTTAACTCATTGCCCCAAAGTCCACTCTAGATCATTATGATTGCAACCTGGCCTGCAGTAGAAATTAGCACTAGGTTCTACCATCCAAATGCTAACGGCAAACTCATGGATTGATAGAAGCGAAGAGCCCCCCCTGAGGATTTGTCCGAGCTGACGTTGGATGTAACAATGTGTCTTACTGAGGGGTCAATATTATTATGAACCGACTTGAATTGCAAGTATCAACTGAAAGGATTCGGAGGAAGAATTCGAGATTATTACAAAGCAGCCAAACTGTCGAGCTCGGAAGAGAAGACTACTTTTTCTCAATTGTAACGTCCTGGACGAACTTGCGGGGTTGACTTCTATCCTCTATCCTCTGGTAGAGTATTATTAATAATTATATAGCACGATTGAGCTGTCTGATCTCGATATCCCCGCTCGGGCGGGTTCAAAGGAATATCATATCCCAATCGGGCAATTCGCGAGTATCGACAGAACAAGGTTAGCGTTATCTCGGGGACTAAACCTGAAATGACTTAGTCACAGCGCTTAGTTACCCAATTGCTCTTCTTGGACCACCCTTGCCGGGATCAATTGGAACTAACTATCTTCAACAAATTTGCCTTTATTCCTTGGAAGAACACGGACTTTGTCAACAGCTTGGCGATGAGATTGCTCTCAACCCTGCCAAGTTAGTGCTCCGAGATGGCATAGAAGCTGGGCGAAGGCTTTAAAAGAATCGCCTCGAGGTTGAGGATGTGGACCTCATTTCCATCCTCAATAGGAAATACTCAAGAGCTGCCTAGGTGATAAGATGAAGGCATTGCTAAATCCGGAGATCTGCTAGGTGATAAGATAGACACGATGTTATATCCGATGAATGAGCTTGATGGAGCTGGGCTCCTTTTTGTCTATTTAAGACTTGCCTGCGCCCAGGCAATCTGAACAGAACTGACATTATCAAGCACACAATCTTTTCAATATCTTGACCCCTGGAAAAAGATCGAACAACACCAAACGACGCAAATATGTCTACGCCTCCCATTCCTGCTTCTTTGCAAAGGAGCCTGGATGCCACCAAAGTCGAGTATGTTCAGCTAGGCACTTCTGGGCTTCGGGTATCCTCGCCCATCCTTGGTACCATGGGCATTGGTGACAAGGACTGGCAGAATTGGGTTATAGAGGAAGAGGAAGGCCTGGAGATACTCAAAGCCGCATGGGATAGAGGTAAGAAAGATATCCCATATACGGATATTCAAGGTTTGCATAGCTGAATAAACCAATATAGGGGTCACCACCTGGGACACTGCCAATGTCTATTCCAGTGGCATAAATGAGGAGATTGTTGGGAAGGCAATAACAAAGTTCGAAATTCCGCGACACAAGCTTACCCTCCTCACCAAATGCAGTGGTACGGTCCCAGATGAACCAAGTATTTTTAACTGGGGGTTTGAAGCACAGTTAAAGCAGAGCAAGGACTATGTTAATCAAGGAGGTAGGCTCAGATATGGCAACGTCCTCTCCTTTTGCTTCTTTTCTTCTTTATGCTAACTCCTAGGGTTGCACAGGCTTGTCGCGGACGGCCATTTTCCATGCCGTTGACGCCTCTCTCCGGCGCCTCGGAACCACCTACATCGACCTCTTGCAAATTCACAGGTACGACCCGTCAGTCCAACCTGAAGAGACCATGAAAGCACTCCATGACCTCGTCCAATCCGGCAAGGTCCGTTACATCGGTGCCAGCTCCATGTGGACGTACCAATTTGCTCGCATGCAATTCATCGCCGAGAAAAACGGCTGGACGAAATTCATAAGCATGCAGAACTCGTACAACCTCTGCTATAGAGAGGAGGAGAGGGAGATGATGAAGTTTTGTAAAGAAACTGGTGTCGGGCTGATCCCGTATGGGCCGCTGTTCAATGGCCTATTGGCAAAACCGACACATGCGCAGTCCGCTAGGTCGAAACAGAGCCTTGCTATGGCTGGCGGGTTTACGGAAGCGGATCAAACGATCATTAAACGGGTTGAAGAGCTGGCTGAGAAAAAGGGATGGAATATGAGTCAAGTTGCGTTGGCATGGATTAGGGGGAAAGGTTGCGTTCCCATCGTGGGCTTGACAAGTGGCGAAAGGATGGACGATGCGTGCGCCGTGCGCGACATGAGGTTGACAGACGAGGAGACTAAGTACTTAGAGGAACCGTATGTTCCGAGGAACATCATGGGACACTTCTGAATTCGGGGCGACACTCCGGATCAAGCAATCTGTATGGTATGGCCTGCTATCATAACGAATCGTGCTTAAATTATTAGCTTGACAGAAGAAAACCAATAACACATTGTTTTGACGCAGATACCATTCACTCGCGTAACTTAATGACAGAACATTTTCACAACAAGGGAGCATAACCTCAAAAGGAGGCAATTATTAATTCCAGGGTTTTGGCCCTAAGGGCTCCTGCATCAGCTAATTTGAATTAAGGTTTGTAGCCGTTTTAAGGTGGCTGGTAAGGCTCTAGGCCTCCCTGGAGAGCTGACAAAGAGGCGCCAAGCGGCGACTATGTTGGAGTTGATCCGTGACGTCCTCCTTGTCTGCGATGAATCCAGCTCTCATGCGTTTCTAGTCATTATCCACGAAGGTGTCATGCCGTTCCCAAGTCATGGTTGCCGCACCTGCAAGCGGCGGCGCGTGAAGGTGAGGGAGTTTTTCCACACCCTAGGTTGGGACGTGGAGAATGGGAGTCACTAATATATGGCCCGGCCCCCCTAGTGCGATGAGACCCGCCCGATATGCAATCGATGCCGGAAGGCAAACCTCACCTGCGACAACGTTGAAGATGGTAACTTTATCTTCTTGAACGAAAATGAATTTGTAGTCGGTCGTCGAAAGCGTCCTCGGGGGCCTAATGTGAGTGCTCGCATTGGCTCCCACACCGAGGGTGATGGCCAGAGTTCCAGTCCAACGACCGACAGCCCATCCGCATCCTCGGAGACCACGGGCCCGGCTCTTCAAAGAAGGCATCCCGAACCACGGAGCTCTGTGTCACAAACGCTGGAAACTCCTATAGCGGAACAAGCTTTGAATTACTACTTCCGAAACTATCTTGAGATGGAGCATCTTTTACCTGACATTGCAGACAGCCATCTAAAATATGTCGCGACCAGTCGTTGCTTTACCGAGCCTGACTCCATCCTCAGTCTCGCGATATTTGCAGTATCGCACGCTACGTTTGGGCGCGCACGGAGAAGCCATGCCTCCTTAGCTGCAGGGTGTAAACAGTACTCAAAAGCTCTTGAGAAAACGAACTTGGCATTGCAGAATCCCAGTCATGCGACCGACAACGATGTTCTGCTGGCTATAATGCTATTAAGCTTTTATGAGAACTCCGTAACCGACAGGAGGTCGTCACCGGCTTCCAGCCATGCTATCCAAGCGTGGGCTTCGCGTAGCTTCGCTCACCATGATGGAGCGTTGGCCGTGCTCAGGTTGCGACGACAGACACAGCATCGAACCGGTGCCGCGCACGTTTTGGATAAATTGGTCCGGCGGCAACTTATGAGATCATTACTGTTACGGAGCTTGCCTTTACCATCATGGCTCGAAGATGGATTCGAATATGGAGAATATGGTTTCGCGCTTGAGCTTGACACTTGCCTGGTGGATGTCGCAAAGATTCGACATCGAGCAAAAACTCTGTTTGCTGATTTCGCAAACAGTTCACTGTACGAACGATGCGATAAAGAAGAAGAAGAAGAAGAAGAAGGAGAAGCACTTCTCTATAGCTTCTTAGAAGAAGCTTACGCGTTGGATGGGACTTTGGTCTCCTGGACAGAACACCTACCCCTTGAGAACTGGTATACCACCCATACAGTTAAGGAACACGGGCAAGCGGAGATCCACAACAGGGTGTTTAACAGCACTGTTCACATATACCCCACGGTTGGACATGCGGGCATGTGGAATCGCTATCGCGCTCTCCGTCTGGCGGTGCATGACACCATTCTCCAGGCGTTATCCATCCTAGACGGGTTAGTGGACTCAGACAGCACAACTGAGCCTCTGGTGGAAGCTGTGAAGGTGACGACCGAACACCTTTCGGATGATATATGCGCAAGCGTACCATACATGTTAGGTCTAGTTGAAGCTGGTTGTGCCATTGCAGATGATGTTATTATCGCCGACCCCCCGGCTTCAACGAAGAGAACTGTTAAAGCCACAACAGCGGGGCTTCTTTGCTGGCCTTTGGCTACGGCGGTAATGGTCTCAGGAATACCAGAAAAACACGAACTGTATCTGAAAAGCTGTTTGCTCGAAGTAAGCGAGATTGTTGATGATGGCGTGCTCGAACGGCTTGCGGTTTTCTTTCCCCGACTATCCAAGTCCTCCTCGTATGCGCGGTAGTCCAACACCTAACCTTCCATTATACTTTTCACTTGACTCTCCCCGCGCACTAGCGCTGCATTGAGAGGGGCGACGGGGTACCCTGCTTACGGAGTTAAGGTCTTGTCATATGGCGCCTGTCACATTGTTGTAGCTTTCTCATGCCTAGCTAGCATCTTTAGTTCAACTTATAGGTTCGACACCAATCGAGTATGATAGCAAATATGACATTACTCCGTCCTGTTGTACAGAGTACAGTAGCGCAATTTAGCCATAAAAGTGAACAGGGATGGAAAATGCAGCAGATGGCGATGTCATTGCCAAGTAGATGACTAAGCCACCCGCGGCCATTCCCCGCATTTTCGCAAACGCGGAGGAAGAGCACGTGATATCTCTCCTCAGCGGGCGGCGCAACCCCCTCATTCTCCTCTAATTCTCCGCTCTCCCTGGATCTCACTGTCGACGCTCCCCATGAAAGATGGATAGTAACCGGCCTGCGCCTGGTCGCGTGAGGAAGAAGAGCACATCGGCCGCCCGCAAATCGCTGTCTTGCGAGTATTGCAGTCGCCCATTTGCGCGCCTGGAACACCTCCAGAGACATCTCCGCACACGTTGAGTTACCCTCCCCCCACCAACCCCTGAAGCCTCCTTTTCGGCCCCGTATGTGCATACTATGTTTGTCATCGTCATGACCTGACCTCCAGTTTTAGACACAAAAGAAAAGCCGTTTTCGTGCGAGATATGCTCCAAATCATTTGCGAGAAGGTGAATTGATTCTTATAATTGTCTGTTCCTGGTCCCCTGGGGCTTGTCAAGTAGTAATTGGGTTACATGTTGATAGTGATCTCCTCGTCCGCCATGAGCGCCTAGTCCACCCCTCAGAGGGAAATGCGCATCACCGTGCCGAAAATAGGACAACTGCCGCTGCTGATGTATCCGCAACCCCCGCAGCCATACCCGCCCCACCTCCACCTCCGCCTCCATCCTCAAACCATGACAGCCACTTATTGAACCTGCCGCAGCCTGTGGCCACTAATTCACCTGCAGTAACCCACCCAAACATACCCGTCCATTCTGCTCAGATAGCAGAACCAGCCCAGTTCAACCCGTCGTGGGGGTATGACCTTAACCTCCTCTCGCACGCCGCAAGCCATGTTGCGCTCGAGGGCCAGCAGGAGACACTTGAGCCAATTCGCAAAACACCTGTGCAGGAAAAGCAAATAACTGGTAACTATGGCGTGGAGCCATCTCTACTGGACCTTGCGGATCTAGGGGACCCGGTCCAGGATTTCGGTGTCTTCCTAGAAAGCGTTGGTCTGTCATCCGATTGGGACTTGGGGATGTTTTCGACGGCAGGTGAAACGGAACCTATACTCCCTGGGGTAATACCACCCCCCTCTTTTGATCCAAAACACCCGATGAATCCTCCAAGATACAACAATGGAGACATTATAGGCGACCAGCGCACCTCCACAGAAGACGCTCCATCTTTTTCAAATTTTGGATCCCGCCTCCCCTCGCTCCAACCAGAGTCTCACGACCCGGAGGATCGTCTTGGGATCCCCGATGAAATCGCCCAGACTCGGCCGGCGTGGGATGTGTCAAATCAAGATAGGCAACTTTTCATTGCCCGACTAGAGGATTTCGCCCACGTACTTCCCAAAGGTTTTGTGCCTCCGTCAAGACATGCACTGTCTCGGTTTTTTGCTGGCTATATCAATGGCCTGAACGAACATCTTCCCTTCATCCATGTCCCAACACTTTCTGTGGCTAGATGCCCGCCTGAGCTAAGCCTCGCGCTAGCCGCTGCCGGCTCTCATTACAGGTTCGAAAATAATCGAGGAATCGATCTTTTTTACGCTTCTAAATCAATTCTTCTTGAACGACTTCGACGACGAGATTCTCGACGAGTGCCTCAAGTACCATGGGGATTTGGTGGACCCAGTCCTGGTGTTCATCGCTCCCGAGCCTCGTCCTCGATTTCTAATCCTGGTAGTAGCCCATTCCAGCAGCCATACATATCTGCTGTGGATGGTGCCACGTACCTTGGCGAAGATTCCGTTGCACAAATGGAAATCATCCGTACTTTCCTCCTCCTCACTGTATTTGCTTCATGGGAAAGACATCCCGAATTGCTACGCGAGATACTTGCGCTTCAAAGCACCCTTGCCAGGCTTGTTCGCGATCATGGCCTTGTCGAATCCACGCCAACATCGGACGGGATAAGCTGGGAAGATTGGGTTCACCGCGAAGCTGATAGGCGAACCAAGCTTATTGTTTATTGTTTTTTCAATCTCCATTCCATTATGTACAATATACCTCCGTTGATTTTGAATTCTGAGCTGAAGCTCAACATGCCGGGACCTGCTGAAGAATGGAAAGCACCCAATGCAGCTCAATGGCGCCGGTTGCACCGGTCCCGTGTTGAAGGGGATACTTCATTTCAAGAAGCTTTTATGAAGCTTTTTATCAAATCGCCGCAGTCGAATGGTGTTACGCCTATATCCCCATTGGGAAATTATGTTCTGATCCATGCAATAATTCAACAAATTTTCTTTGCCCGGCAGCTATGCCTATCATCCCCTCTGATGTCTGGCACTAGCTTACGACCCGAAGATCTTTCAGTCTTGGACTCTTCTCTGAGCGCATGGAAAGCTGGTTGGAGGCGAACTCCGGAATCAAGTATCGACCCTCAAAGCCCGGCCGGTCCGATCGCATTTACATCAACTGCTCTTCTCGGCTTAGCGTATATCAGGCTGCATCTGGATCTCGGCCCCTGCCGCAACCTTGTAACCCAAGACCCAGTTCAGATTGCACGGGCTCTTAAAGAGTCACCACCTGTCGTGCGGAACCCAAGGCTAACTATGGCGTTATTGCATTCCGCACATGCCCTCTCGATCCCAGTACGACTAGGGATAGATTTCGTTGCAAAGACTCATTCGTTTTTCTGGAGTATACAACATTCAATTTGCAGTCTCGAGTGCGCATTTCTGCTCAGCAGATGGCTTCTCGCAATTCCTGCCACTCAATCCGACCAGCGGCTATCCGACCATGAGCAAAAACTACTCTTGTGGGTAAAGAGCATGATGGAGGAGACAGATATGGTTTTCAATATGGCCAATACGGGCGAGCTGGACTTTATAAATGACCCACTCAAATTGAAGGAGCTTAGTATCGCCGTTGTTCGCGTATGGTCGAGAACTTTCAAAGGAAACACGAGCTGGCCCATCGTGGACCTCATCGGGTCGAGTTTAGAGGTCTATGCCGATTTGCTGGAGTCTTAGAAATGTCTCTACATACTCAAGTTACACATAAACAATCTCTTTCTACTTTCATTTATTCGATCTGGGTCATACCTTAGTTGTGATACCCAAAACACCCCGATGCCTACAGTCTATGGTTCTTGAATACTTCACGTTCGCCTACGCCTTTCTGAATAAATTTAACATGTGAACACCCAGAGAAGGTTTTACCTAATCGATTTGCTCTGCTGCTGGTTGACACTCTCTCAACTTACCCGTCTGATTGGGCGCGGCATCAAGTGCCGTCTTCCTCCCATACCGTCCGCTCTACCTACACCTCCTTCCCTCTTCTCGCCTAATTCTCTCGATTGACATGTCTCCTCTATTACTGGTCACGGCGCCTAGCGTTTTGCTTTAAGAGGCTATCTGGGTTGAGTATCTCCATCAACTTCTCTGAACGATATACTAAGATATCTCCCTCATTGTGCCACATCTCACATCATCATTATTCAAGAAGCAAATAAACGAAGATGCGAGAAGCAATGCCTGCCTCTTAGCTGTCTGTGCACATTCTGAATTGACCTATTCTTCTTTTGATATAAGGCATGGCATGTTCTCCCTTCCAAGAAACCTACCTCGTCCCGATCGGGCCTTTTATAAATCCGTTTCTTCCTACCTCACTAATATCGAATTTTTTTCGAATTTTTTTCTTGTTTCTTTTCTCCTTTTTTTTATTTTTTTTTATTTTTATTTTTATTTTTTTATATATAGCATAATACCCCAAATATCTCCCTACCCAAAGGAACCGGGGATGACGAGAGCGAATTTTTCTCCCTTCTTATATATGCCTCTCAAAAGGAGTATAATGACGAGATGTGGTCAAGTGGAATTGACTGCAAACGAAAAAATGGACCCTGATATTTTCTCCATTATTGTTCCATTCCTATTATCTTTTTATATCTCTTATGGTATATTTTTATTCTCGCATGTTATTTATGGCCCGTTTGAATCGGCTGCTGCACGGCGGCCATAAAGAGAATTAGCTAGGAAAAGCCAAACGAAACAGTTGGATTTTGTTGGGGTCGGTTGAGTAAGGAAAAAGGGGCGATGTTATTTTGCTCTTCTCTTTCTTTTCCCCCCTTTCAAGGTGTTGGGTAAATTCCTTTTTCATTTCTTCTTTAACTACTATCCTTCTTATATTGCGTTAACTCCATGCTCAGCTTCCATCCTCCCTAACGAGGGGAATTTATATATATATATATATATATATATATTAATCCTTTCGCCACAGTAACAACGCCACCCTGACATATTTCATATGATTTAATAAACTACGGCTTTGGAGGAAAAGATGAATATCAGAAATGGCTGTAACATTTGTAAGGCATCTCAGGCTGCATAGTCTTCTCATGATTCATTCCATACAGAGCTCTACATGTTAAGTTGGACCGTCAAAAACCAACATAAGGGCAGTCATATCTTCGCTGCGAGGTGGGATATAAAGACCAATCACAAAAAACCTCTGCTAAAAAAGGTCCAATAAAAGGACTCATCCATCGTCCATCATCATCGTCCCTGCTTTTGCCGTTGTTTCTTCCCATCCATCCTCAAAGCTACGCTCGTCGGCACAAACCTGAGGGCCGACATCGACTTTTCCAATTCTGCAATATCAGGCCCTTTGTCATTCGAGTTGCCATTGGAGTTAGATTTGCCCATGGTTGTTGCTGCGACTGTCCTTGAGGGAGCAGATTTCATGTGCATTGGTAATTGTATACTTCCTGCGGGGTTACCTAGGTTTGTGCGGATGGTGGTATCGTCGTTGATGCTGCTGTGGTCCGGTAGAGGCGCGACGTTACTAGGATTTTCTCCTCCTGTGGATTGAGACAGTTTCCGTCGTCTCAGGCGGTTTTCATGTTGTGTTGCGTTGGGTACTGAGACACGTCGGCGGTGGGTTGGTGCCATGCCTCCCCTGAGCATCGAGTTGTATTGATCGATACCAGTGACGACGATGGAGAAATTATAAAACTATTCAATTTTAGCGGCTTGTGGGGTTAGTTGACGAGTTTATTAGGGGAGGGAGGGGGCTTGAAGATTTAGAGTCGTCTTAACATTTTTCTATTTTTCTCTGTCTATTTTACGCATACGGTCCTGATAGAATAGGTGAAATGAAAGGGGGTAGATAGTAACTCACCCTCGGGAATTGATGCTTGTCGATAAGATGGAGTCTTCTTTTCTGACTTGTCGAGCATTTCCGATCACAACCTTCAACAAAACATGAGAACTACCCGTTCAGGTTAGTTTCAATAATCATTACAGTGCAGATTACGTGAGAATTAAAAAATGAAAATAAAATATAAAGTATCACCGTCTTTTCGCCCCGTTCCATACGCGAAGCAATGAGGGGATCGTGGAGCTCCTCGATGTGCAAAGTAAGAAAATGAGTAGTAGGGAAATTCTTCCCGCACTCCAAACACCGATTGGAATGCGCTTGCGCATAATGGACTTCGTAGTCTTCATACGTCGAAAATGAGATATGTTCCCTATGAGGAGGCAACGAGCAACGCATCACTTCCTGATCTCCATTCTGGTCGTCTAAATGGACCTGTTTCCCAGGGGGGGAAGTTTGGGGGCCCATGGCTGTAGACGGTATGTGAGAATCCACAGGCGAACCTGGCGGTTCAAATGCCAGAGACTCTTCTCGTGAGCGTTTGGCCATTGTTTAAAATGGAGAGAGATCTTAGTCTCTTAGTAACAGGTGGAAAACGGAAACAAGCAAGTACCGTGTTTATCGCTCGAATTAGGTGCCAATCCCCATGCCCTCTCTGAAGGGCGCTCCGACGACACAATGTGAGCACTCTTATTTACCACTGTGGCGGTTAATACGATCGATTTGGACGAATGCAAAGCCTGTTACTCAAGTTAACTGGCGTCGACTGAGATTGAAAGGGACTAAAAGAAGTATTGAGTAATTTTCAATCAGCAGAATACGGAGTGTATGTGACATGTTGATGCGCCAGCTACAGATATGACGTAGACTCACGTGATGATAACGATGATGACTAAACCCAATGTACAATTATTTGAAATCAGATATTTCGATATTTGCCCCTCCTCCGTCTCTATACAAACGACTTTTCACTCACATTTCAGTTGAGTGATACCATAAAATTTAAGCAATCGACCGAAATTATACTGTCTCACCCGCCATGGCGCCACCAAAGTCCAAAAATGCCGTTGGACTGGGGAATAGTTTGATGAATGATCGTTTCGGGAAGGGAAAAGGTAGTGATCGCAAAAAAGCTTCCTATAGCGCTGCTGCTGTTCAACGGACTGGTCCAAACGGCGAAACCTATATTACGAACCCAAATGAGGAGGCATCATGGGTTAAAATGCGAAGTATCACCGAGCAAGGTGCTCTGGATGAGTTTCTCAGCACAGCAGAGCTTGCCGGCACGGATTTCACGGCCGAGAAACTGAATAATGTCAAAATCATACATACAGATCAGAGGAATCCTTATCTACTTTCTGCAGCTGATGAAAGGGCTGCAGTCAAGAAGCATCAACGGAATCGTGGCAGATTGACAGTTCCCCGTCGACCGCAATGGGACAAATCAACAACCCCACAACAGCTGGATAGAATGGAGCGGGAGAGTTTACTTGAATGGAGACGAGGGCTTGCAGAGTTACAAGAACACCAGGATCTACTATTGACTCCATTTGAGAGGAACCTGGAAGTTTGGAGGCAGTTGTGGAGAGTTATTGAGCGGTCAGACCTGGTCGTGCAAATTGTTGATGCGAGAAATCCCTTACTCTTCAGATCGGAGGACCTGGAAAAATACGTGAAGGAAGTTGATCCTCGGAAGCGGAACTTGTTATTGGTAAACAAGGCAGATATGATGACCGAGAAACAGAGAGAAATATGGGCGGATTATTTCGAAGAGCACGGTATCAATTACAAATTTTTCTCGGCCGCATTGGCCAAGGAGAGCCTCGAGGCGATGGAGTTGGCTAACAAAGACATGGACAAGGATGTCTCAGAGGAGGAGGAACTAGCTGATAATACAAAGAGGTTGAACATTGACGATGCAGAAGAGGATTCCAGCGAAGAGGAATCGGAGACTGATGAGGGTGGACCACTCCCCAACCTCCCTAGATCGCGCACGCAGATTCTTACGATTGACGAACTTGAGGAACTCTTCCTTACAGCTGCACCGCACATACAAAAAAACGAAGGGGAGAACGGGAAACCCAAACCAACGACTGTTGGTCTTGTCGGATATCCTAATGTTGGTAAATCCAGTACAATAAACGCCCTCCTTGGCGCGAAGAAAGTATCAGTATCTGCCACGCCGGGGAAAACCAAACACTTCCAAACACTCTATCTCTCACCAAATCTCCTCTTGTGTGATTGTCCCGGTCTGGTCTTCCCTAACTTTGCAACAACAAAAGCGGAACTTGTCGTAAATGGTGTTCTACCGATTGACCAGCTTCGCGAATTCTTGGGCCCGGCCGGTATTGTGGCCAAACGCATTCCAAAACCCTTCTTGGAAGCTGTGTATGGTTTTAAAATCAATATGCGACCTCTCGAAGAGGGAGGAACTGGAGTTCCCACGGCTTCCGAAGTTCTTCGTGCATATGCGCGCGCCCGAGGCTTCGCCACCACCGGTCTTGGCCAGCCTGACGAATCCCGCGCTGCAAGATACGTATTAAAAGACTATGTTAGCGGGAAACTCCTGTTCTGCCACCCTCCACCTACTTCCGAATCCGAAGTTGAAGCTGGGAAGAAACCGATCGATCCGGCAGAGTTCAACCGAGAATTATACGATATTTCCCATCTACCTCCAAAGAGACGTGACGCTCTCCTTAATCAGGGGTTAGCGCCCTCCTTGTCCGGCTATGATGAGTCGTCTAGCCACGCTGATACCGATGCCGACACGAACGACGACACCTTATCGCTCCCATCCTCTATCGTTTCTCACCCGCAGGGTGCTCGCTCGCGGAACCTGGACACTGGCTTCTTCTCGTCAGTTGGCTCAGGAGGAGCGGGACATGTTAAAATGCCCTTCAGTTACCAATATACTGAACAAGGTGCTATTCAGAGACAAAAGGAGCTTTCTGGTCGAAAACAAAGAATGATGGTTGCGTTAGAGAACGGGGTTGATCCTTCGGAGCTTAGCAGGGCTGGCAAGAAGCACTTTAAGGGTGGGAAGAGAAAGGAAATAGAACGAAGGAAGAAGGCATTATCTAAGACAGGGGAGGAGGATTTCTATTAGATGGTTGATATAACGTAGATGAGGGACAGCAAGCAGCCTTCTTACTATGGTTTTTATATTTTCTTCTAAGTGTACAAGTCCACTTTCGCTTCGCGAGTGTTCGTTTCTTTTGGATATACGAATGGATGAGGGTTAGATCTAAAACGGCGGGGTTAATGATTATACTTGCATTTTACTTAGTTATTAGCAATCCTATTTACATTCGTCACTATTAACATGATTATTGTTGCTATCAAAGCCCAATGGTATCTGCGTACATACGAGATGATGATCGTTTGCGAAAGTCGTTCGTGCGTGAATAACCCTTGGGATTTGTAAATAAGAAATCGTTCTTCTATCAAATTTGTCTATTATCTATTATTCATAAATCTATCCTGAAAGGTATTAGATTTAAAGTTGCCACAAACGAATGCCACAAACAAGATGAAGACAAGGATAACTAGTAAGGATATGTGGTAGCTTGAGATTCCTCACTACTAGCTTTAATCCTCACACACACTTGCACTTTAAAACTCTAACTTTATCCCACTGCTGGCATTATCCAATTAGTAATTCGTGTGGTTCCTTCATGGGTTGTTCATCATTATTCCACTGCGTCTAGGTCGATCGGTATTCTTCGTTCTGTTCGATGTTTGTTTCATCGTTGCCTGCTTCGCTACAGTCTCGTGTCGGGTCGTCGAAGGTATTCATTCCCGACGGACTCCTTCAACCTCAGGAGCGGCATGTGGTCCCGGCAACTACTGCTTGGAATCGCCTGGCTAACCAGCTCTGTGCGATTGACGCCCAATTGGGCACTGTCTGCTTGACTAGTGATATTCCATGTCGATGAGGTTCCGGAGGAATTAATTCTCGGGCGACTCTAGCAATGCTAGCGGACTATATTCCCGGGACTGCCGTTGAGAATCGCCTGGCTGATCCTCTCCATTCGACTGTTAGTAGTTACGATAGCACCCATTTGACAAGCGGCATAGCTCCGCGTTGATCCGCTTCTAGAGTATTTCCTTCTCCTCAACGGGCCATCTTAGGTACGGGGTGAGCTGTGGTCAGGTTTGAATTCTTGATCATTTTGGCTGTTTGGAGGAACCCTGACATAAGGAAAGGTTGATGTTAGCTCTGTTTATCGGCAGATATAGGGAGGCAGGCAGGCAGGCAGGTGAATTATCATTTCTGTATCTTCTAAATATTTCTGCAACACTCTCACCCAAGAGATTCTAATATCACTCATCTCCAAATTCAATAAATATATATCAGAGTTTCTCTGTCATAGCACAAAAATAAAGCTAGAGAGATAAAGAATCTAAATATAATAGTTTCATAATAATTGAAGAAGTATTTAGTGTAGATGTATCAGATTGAAGTTGATGATGTCTTTTGTATCTAATCCGTACGCATAGCAATGAGATTTTGAGTGTTTTGAAGATCCGAGGCTTCTCATTGGTTGATAATATTAGTCAGACTATGAGTCACTAATCTGAAAGTAGTTAGTAACATATTGGGGATGGATGTTAGAGGATAACGCTATCTAAGGTGAAACTATATGTACCAGCGCCTGCTGGTAGAAGGGCCGATCAACCGCGGGACCCCCAACACCCCCCCTCAGACCAGCTATCACAGAGTACAGTACTTCCTCTCAGTGACTCTCTTCAGTGGCTCCCCACAATGGCTCCTCTTAGTGGACTCAGTTAGTTCTAGAGCTTACAGGACTTCTAGAGCACACTTCTGAGATATCTCTTAATACTGTTAAAATGTTCAGAGTATTTGTTAGGAATTTTTAAGTCTATTCTGAGATTGAACTCATGTATGTTGATCACAGTGAGACTCATGCTCAACAGTCTCATAATCTGTAGACTACTGAGATAAAAGAGCTCAATTATCACCAGCACCTGCTGATAGAAGAGCTGATTGTCGGAATAAGTGTTACAGATGAATATGTTGAAGACATATAAATCTTATATGTATCAAGATCTGCTTGTTATCTTATTCATGCACTATCTAATATATCTATTTCATACAAAAGATAGAGCTATTTATAGTAAAATATATGTGTGAGTCAAGAGAGCTAGTATAAGTAAGTATTAGACAAGTATTGTAATAAGCTGATAATAATAAGAAATATTATAGTAATACAATATTGATAATATTCAGTAGTGTATAATCTCTTTTTTCTGATACACTCTCTTCAGCAAATGTAACATGTAAATGAAAGTGTAAATGAAGCTGTAATAAAAAGAGTGTAGATGAATCTATAGTAAAAAGAGTGTAAATAAATCTATAGAAAAAAGAGTGTAGATGAATCTATAGAGATTATATTAAAATAGATTATTTATTCTGCTTATATCTTAATAATATCTGATATATCAACTAGGCTTAGTATCTTAATGAATTCTGTATATTTCTAGTATGACAGAGTCTTAGTGAGGTTATTCACTGACATCTGAGCTATAGACACTCAATCAACTGTAATATCACTGAATTAAACATATTCTCAAAGTCAACTTTCATATATATTAATATAACAGAGCTTTACAATTATAGAGAAGTCTTTCTTTATAAAAATATCAATAGTTTAATAATTATCACATTAAATATAAATCTTATAGTCAGATTTAAATTAAATATATTGAAAGAATTTATCTCATTAGATAGACTTCTTACTAACTTATAAGATAATAATAAGCTCAGCTTCTATAATAGATGTAGTTATAATTATCTATCTATTTGATTTTCAATCAATAATCTTATTAAATAGTGTGAAGATATATTCTTATATAGAGCAGTCAGCATCACCACGAACTCAGTCAATTTTTTGAATAAGAACCCGCCGATAGATTCATTGAAAAGCTCTCAATCATACAAGCATTCTGACCCCATCGCCGACTGCATACCCTGTGTGGTGGTGAAGTTATCCAGTCAAATGTGAACCGGACATTGTTCAAAACTCCTGTGTGAGATTATCCCTCATTCTCCCCTACCACACCACAACCCCGGGCCAAAGTGCCATACAAATTGTAAGGTGAAGAGACCTAGTCATATGCACTAATCTTCTCAATTTTGAAAGATCTCTGATCTGTAGTTGTGAAGATATCTGAGAAGCAATCTCTGTGAAAACCCTGTTCATCTTTGATGTTTCAAAACACCAATGCCAAGTTTCATTCTCATACCGCCCTTTCTAATCTGGCTCATCCTCAGCAGAAAAATACAAAAAGATATCTCAGTGATAATATCAAGCATATAATCAACAGTCACTTCTAAAGTGCAATCTTCATAATCTGTCTTCAGTGTATCTAGACATCAATATCAAGTCTCACCCTTGTACCACCTCTCTCAATCTGGCCCATCTCTGATAGAAAAGTATAAAAAGATACCTCAGCAACTGTACTTAATACATAATCAGCAGACATAATAACTATAAAATCAGTATATCTCAAGATCTGACTGAGTCTTTGATCCCTGCACAGTCAGATATATTAAATCTAGTTTTAATATCTCAATATTCAATAGATTCTACAAGAGATTGAGAATAGCAATACTAGATTTTTATTGAATTTGAGAATTAACTCTATATTAATATAATCATTGACAAAGTCTTCTATTTTAAGATATAAATAACTAGTTTCTCTACATCTCACTGACAATATTTATATTATTATATAGAAACAGACTTATATTCTCTATAATATCAAGACTCTGAAGAGAGAAAGTCTTGATAGAAGATATACAGTAGTGCATATCTTAGCAGTTTCTATCTCATTCTTCTGCAGCAGTTAATGTAAAAAAAAGATTTTAGAAATAGTTTTTTACTTCTCTTGAAAAAGTAAGATGTTTTTCTCTGGGTTTTATATAATATTCTTACAAAGAATTAAAAACAGAGTTATTTTCTATCATAATTTTATATTCTTTTAAGTAAGAATTACTTTTTCAGTGACTGAAGAGCTTTTATTAATACTTAATTCTTTTTTACACTCTTTATTAACTGATTTGAGTTGTATACTTATTGTGTGAGAAGAATTGAATAATTTAGAATAAAATTAAATAGTTTTAATCAATTTCTCTGCAAAAAATTGATTTATTTTTTATCAGTTTTTCTCTTAAAAACTGTCATATTATCTGATTTACTATTAATTGATATTATACTTTTCCTCACTGTATCTCAAGAAAGAGATTGTAAAGATTTTATTGATTTATCTTAAAAATCAATTTTAGTTTATTAGATTCTCTTCAAAAATCTAATCTAGTTACTGAACTAGTGTGAAAAAAATCAGATATTCTATACACAAAAGTCTGTTATTCTTCTTTTGAAATAGTCTGATCAACTTTTCAATTGAAAACAGACTTAGAAATCTCTTAATTGAAACAGTCTGACCAACTTTTCAATTCAAAAGAGTTTAATAAATATCTCAATTGAATTAGTCTGATCAACTTTTCATTGAGTAAGAACAATGAGTTCAAAAGTACACTCAGTTCATATGGAAAAAGATGCTTTCTCAAATACTATTTCTGAGATTGAAATTCTGAAGAGAAGAAAGAAAGAAGAAATAGAGAAATAATAAGTTCTTGAAATACAGAAACTTGAAAAAGTAAGTAAAATTCTTGAAAAGCAGTGTCTGAGTGAGATGAATGAAGAAGTTCTATTAATTCTTCATGCTCAGACTAGATAACTACAGAAAATGATCAAGTTCAAACTTAGAATTTCAAACACAGTTCAAAAAACTTTGAAAATTTCTAATACAATCACTGACTCTTCAGTTTACTCTTCTTTCTTTTCTACTTCTTCTTCTTCTTCTTTAAATCAGAAGAAAATATATGCTCAAGCAGCTGAATCTGCTGTCTCTAAACCTGCTATCTTTAAATCTGCTATCTCAAAACCTGCTCAAAATTCTGAGAAAACTGAGAAGAATACTGCTCATACTTCTAGTGATAGAAGAGTGAAGAAAAAAATGTAAAAAGAGAAAAATCTTCAAATCTTCAGAAATAGAAGACTTATTCTCAAAGTCTCAAATCAGAACATATTGCAGAGAAATAAGCTAAACTTAAACCTTATTTTCAGAATTAGAAATGAAATCAATCAGCAGTTCTTTTCTCAGTTAATGACTGATATTAAAGTTTAAAAATCAGTTATAGCTTCAATTGAGTCATTCTTCTTTGAAAACTTCATCATTCTGATCACAATGTCTGAATTCAGTGCAGAATTCCTTATTCAGAATGAGAATCTCTGAAAATTAGCAGTAGAATCTTTATTAAACACAACAATTCTATCTGAGAGAGATGAAAAGTGAGATAAATTCATTCTTTATAATATTTCAGTTGAAATTTTTAACTGTGAAGAAGAAATACTACTTCTCAAAAATAAATTAAAAGAATATAACTCTATTCAACTGAGACAAGAGCCTGTATAAC